GAATGCCTTTTGGTTTAAGAATCACGAAAGAAATAAATGAATTACTTATACTCCAAATTCCCAGTAAAACAATTAATAAGATAATAATGTTTGTAATCATATATTACGTTCAATTTTTATTAAATAAATATTGTACTGTGATTAAAATTTTAGAAGTGTCTATTTTTTATTATGTAAGTCTATTTATTATGAAAGCTTTCCTGTTATGAATGTAAGGAAAGGAAAAAAATTATTCTGAAAGTATAATTATCTTTCCTGTTATTTAAATATATGTAATATTGATCAAATAATCAGTTGTTATATTATTTCTGTTTTGTATCTGCACTCATCTGTATAAAATTTCTCCTATCTTTTATCAAATTTATCTTTAAATAATACTATATTTATACTATATATAGTTTCATAAATAGTATTATCCTGTTATTTTATTTAAAAGTATGCTAAAAATACTGAACTGGCTATTTGTCTAATTTTGATAATTATTATAAATAAATTCTATTTTTTATTTAAGATCAAATGTTTAATCTTTATAGACAGATTAACCATTTGATCTGTAATAAGAAATAAATTTGAGATGCAAATCAAATTTAAAGAAGTTTATTAAATACAGAAGATTATTCTCTTTTAATTATTATAAATTTTAAATATAGAATATTTATGAATTATAAGCAATAAGAAAAATAAAAATCTTATGACTTACAAGTTTTGAAATCTCCATAATATTTAGTATATTTAATCATTATTTTTATTTATTTATTTTTTTCTTGTTTTGATGGATTTTAATTAACCTTTCAATTTTGGAAAATGATTTATAATTAGATCTGAAAAATGATATGTAATTAAAAATTATTAATAGATACTTAATTTTTCAGACATAATTATAATCTGATAACCAAAGTTGTTTTGTAACTCAAAAAAAAATAAATAATAAAAACAATAAATCCTTTATGATATTAGAAAATGATTGTTGGGCAATTTCCACCAAACTATGTGTTATATGATTTTTTTCCTAATGCAACTTTTTCAGATTTTATCTTTGCCAATTTTATTTATCATCAAATTTCTGAATATATTAGTTTCATGATTTATTTTATGACCACATCTGTATAATATAGTTGAATTATAATTAGTCAATGAGTATATAAATTTAGCTGAAATACAGTTTTGAATAGTACAGTAAGTGGATTTAAGAGAAATTTAAAAGTAGTAATAAAAGTTAATTATATATATTATGTTATAGTGGGCGTTGTACTCGTAGCACCATCTGTTGGACATAAAAGCCTTAACCCTACATGATATCTTTTAATTTATATGAATGTTTAACAGAATAATATACATCCTATGTTCACCCTGAAGTTCCGTTGTAAATATTGGTGAAAGAATTTTTGGAGAAGTATATTATATTGAATATTATATAAAATACCATAAGAACTAAATTATGGCTTTAAGATAAATTTTTATTTTTTAACAAAAGTTAGTAGTAACTGACTGATCAGGAATGAATCAAGAACAGTGTAGGCTCCACTGGTTATGATTTCTGGCCTTATAAAAGAAGTTATATTAATAATAATAATAATAATACAATTCAATAATAAAAATCAGCTTCTTTCACAGTTGCTCAAATTAACACTCTTCCTTTTATTAAATTAATCTCTAGTCTTCTATTGAAAAACATTTTAACATTTAGAAGTTGCTGGAACAGATCTATAGTAATACAGTAGTCCATGGCTATGGTATTAATATAATTGTACTGTGCTGTATGCAAGATGAGGATGGAGAAAGAGATTACACGTCAGATAGCCATGACAATATGAGGCCGATGAAGTAAAACTATATGTCATATTGTTGACAAGAGAGAAAAAAAAGCAGCACTCAACAAGGAAATAATGAAATCTTTTTGTTCTAAATGAATCAATGTATCATTATCATCATATTAATATCATTTTGAGGATTGTTTAAACCCAATGTCTCTGGCAAATGTCAGATTTGCCTTATGTTAACATGTCTCTGCACTAATAAACAATAGCAATAAGCAGAACCTACTGTAAAATGAAAGTAATGATATAATTGTGAATTCAAAATCTTGTCTGCATTAGCATTAATACATATAAATCTTTACTTTTGTAATGTTTATATTGTAAAACCTTTAGTCTCTATAAATGCTTATGTACTGTACACTCACACGAAATCATTATTGCAAATGATAAATGAATATGAATTATTGACTTAAGTGATTAGTCTATTTAAATTATGTATGATAATTATCAAGAATATTAAAGGTACATTATTAATTGCTTTAAATATTAACAAAATAAGCAATACACCCTTAATGAGTAAGGGACTTCCAATCTTACACTCCATGAGTAAGGTTGGAAAAACACGGTTTTCAATTCAGTTGATGTTAGTGTTTCTCTAGTCTTACTCACTATTAAAGATGTATTGCGTATGCATTAAATTAACCATAGTGGCTAGTTTGATTTTAAATATTAATTTTGTTATTTTAATATTTGTTTTTTGAAACTGTGTCCTGTTTTATAATTCTGGCATAGTAAACACTAGTATTGTGTTTTATTCCAAAGTCATTATAGCAAGTTTTCCATCAAATTCCTTTATTAGTTGAGTTGATATGGTACATTGTTTTGTACTCGTTTCGGGCTTTGCCCCTCTTCAGTCAACTATAGTACAATAAATATTATTACAGTAGAGAACTTACATAAAAAACAATGAGTACACAAACGATATATAGACCTATTGTACCTTTGGTTACACTTTGTATAATTTAAAATCTTCTAAAATCTGCTTTTAGAAGATTTTAAACTTGCCATGTGTCTTTGGAATAAAACACAATACTAGTGTTTACTATGCCAGTATTGTAATATTATTATTAAATTGGCACCTAATGCCTATCTCTAGTACTAAATTACTGTATTTAATTATAAATATTAATAGTAATGGTAAAGTAGCTGGACTTAAATCTAGTAATCATTTGGTTTCATTAGTTTTGTTACAAGTGTTTTTATAATTCTTACTTTGCAATCCAATTGACAAATCGGAAATAGATCTCTATTTCTGATCTAAATAAGCATTAAATAATAATTAAAAAGAAATGGAAAATAAGTTTTTTTTATAATGAGACTATTTAAATACAGGAAATTTTCATTAATTCGAAATTTAAGGGTTGAAGTAAATGTGACTTTGAATTATTGAATTTCAGATTATCTGAGATTTACATATTTCTGTACAATATGCCAAATGTATTTGATGTAATTTATTAAGGAAATGGAGTGTGGTACATATACAGATTGCTGGTTAATAATAATAATAATATAAATTAACTGCAGGTAAATAGCACATGTCCATGAGAACCTCACAGGTTGTCAGATAGATTTTATAAAAGAGTAAGGCGAAATTTCTCAAAATATAGTTCAAATTAAGCCCTACGATTATCTCAATCTGTTAGTTGTAGCCCAAGATTGCAGTCCTGAAACCCAGCTGTGTTTTATGAAATAAGAGAAAAAAGGATAGTCCACAAGTAAGGTGACAACCGAAAATGTATTACGTACTGTAAAAGCAAAGCCATATTGACCAGATTAGAGTTGTTCTTAGTCTATTGTCTTATCACATGGAGACACTTCAATCTAAATGAATGATTTAACATACACCTGTCACAGTTTAGACAGAATTTTCATTTTGAATTTAGAAGTAGCCGTATTTTGTACTAACTGAATTCCTTAACATGTTAATCTCTATATTCCTGGCTGGAACAAAAGTACAGTTACAAACTAACAGGATTTCAAACTATTTGAGTTCGAACTAATGAAGATTTCCTGTAGTATACAAGCTTGTAATGTTTGTAATTGCTAAAATGGAAACCTGTATCAAATATAGCTTGAATAATTCATGCATATGATCAGTTCTCTAGAATTAATACATAATTATTCAAGTTATTTTAAGTCTAGCCTTTTTTGTTTGCTGTCAGTTTGCTACAGTTTTAGGTCATTCATTAATTGAACCTCTAATCATTTCTTTCTAGTCTATTAACTTCTCTGCCAGTTGAGTACAGGTATACCTCGACTTACGTCGTTTCGAGTTACATCGTTCCCGATTATACGTCGTTTGTCAAAAAAGTATATGGAAAAATAAAAATCAAGTTTAAGTCATTTTATTCGACTTTACGTCTGTCCGCCACAAATATTGAAGTCGTAATATCACTAGAAAAGCATTTAAAGCACATAAAATCATATTAAAATATATACATTTACAAGTATGTACTGTATTTACAGTACCTGCATTTGTAAATTTAGATGACTTTTTTCTGTACTATATTAAAAACTAAAATTTATTTGTTTGTAAGCTTAAAATAGATCCTTATTAACCATATATTATTAAAAATGCATTAATAAATAAAATACAGAACCGGGAATGGTAATTTATGGTTTAGCCTAGTGACAAGTAGATTCGACTTACGTCGCCTCTCCTGGAACCAATTACTGACATAAGGCGAGGTATACCTGTATTAGACTTTCTTGTCATGTTTTTTTTTTTTTCTAAAAGAACTTGGTATAATTTCAGTTCAATTACTAGTAGTTCTGCTTCTTAAATTAGTTCAATCTCTAAGATATTTCTAATTGCAAGAAATATAAAGTTAAGCTTACAAGCAAACAAATAATCAATTTCCTATGCTCTTCAACTCTCTCTATTGGTTTAGGCAAAATGCCAATATGCTGAAATGGCCTTTATATCTCCTTATTGAAAACTGAGATTAAGTAAACTTTCATTTCATTAGATTTATGTTGAAGAAAATATAACTCTTAGTCATAACTAAGAGTAAGTCAGACAAAAATAATATTTGGCAAAATTTTCTATATAAGCTTTAATGAAAATTAGATTATATTTTTTTTAATAATTATTATAATTTGAATATATTTTGAATATTTCACTGTTGGTTGTAATCATGAATTATATTTAAAATGGAACATTTATTTACTTTTATATCATAGAAAAAGAAGTAACTTGCATAATTAGGAATACTGATTATTAACTGGTTAGTATGTTAAATGTTAAATTTATTTGAAGTGTTTAAAAAAATTCACAAATTCAGTTTCTAACATTTAAAAATGAATAAATATTTTACTCTTACAAGTTAGTACAGTAAACATTCCAAAACATTTTAAGCTTGTATAGTAAACTGATTACCATAAGATATACTGTAAAAATAAAATTCAATAATAATTAAAATTGTAATTGTATTGTATGAAATTCTATTGTAGGTGCTGTTTCAAATTTCAATTTATCCAGTAATTTTGTGTGATTGATATTATAAGAATTAACTATGGCCCTTGCAGCTGTTAGAAGAAAATTTATTGACATCGGAGCAAACTTGACAGGTGAGTTTATTATAAGATATAAAAAACAAGATTTTTTATTTTATATAATATGTTTGAAAAATTGCACTTTTTTGAATATCAAAGTGAAATAGTAATATATTAAAAAATATTTTTTTTAAAAGTTTAATGATGAAGTTTTCATGAATGGAAAGATTAAAAGTGTGCATTAATAAAAAAAAAAAGTAAATTTAATAAAATATCTTTGAAACATTGCTTATTTTCTGAAATTTTAAAAGCATTGTTTTTAGTCTTGTTTGAGAGATAATTAGTGTTTTCAAATTAACTTACATTTTTGAAGCTTAAAAGATTATTCTTTTAAATTTAATTACATGTGATTTTTTGGATTACATAGATATGATTACTTATTGTCATCTAGGAGAGTTTTATATTTTCTTAGTCTTATAAATTGATGGTCTGTAGTTTAATCAAGCTTCTATGTGAATAATTAAAGTTTCAGATAAAGACATTATAATCTTATTCAAGAATTAGCATTTTTTTACTTAACCATCTTTCAATTTCAACACAAAATATAAACAATAAACTGCAGATGACATCTCAAAATAGGAAGGAGAAGACTCTAGAACTAATTTTAAAATATGTAGAAGAAAGCTATAACGTTAATTATAGAAAGAAAATAATAATAATAATTGTAAAGCACTGTAAAAAATTATTCTGAGAAAATAATCATTCTTTTGACAGAACTTTTTAAGCTCTTAATATATTTGCCTCTATTATATGGGGAATAATTTCTGTGTTTTTGTTATAAATTTCTTACTTTTGTCATATTTGTGTTTGATATCTTCAATTAATGTGAATTGATTTCAACAAATTTTAACACTTTCTGACATGAATATCAAAACTATTATAATGTTCTAGATACATAACAATTTTTTCTTTAGCTTACTCTCATAAATAGATTATGTAATACTAATAAAATTGTTTTAGAATAATATAATTGTATTTTCTTACATCAATTTTAGTCCTATAATTGTGCAGTTTTACAATATTCTGATTATTAGTTACATTACAAACATTTTATTAAGCAAATTTAATTAGTGAACGTCCAACTCAGAACTTTACACCATAATTAAATGAATATAATCAAGACTGTTAGTTGAGGAAACTCAATTATTTTTTATTACAGTAATAAAAAATAATTGAGTTTGTTACAACTTATCACTGTTTACTCATTTAATTTAATTTAATCTGATCATGGAGCAATGTGCTAAATATGTTCTTTGGAATGTAAACTTTGAGAGTATTGTTCCTATATTACAGCAAGAACTATTATTTTCAAGTAACATTGAATGATGTGTTGACGTGTATGGCAGAGATTGTCAACTTCAAGGAAACTTTGACAGCAAAGTAGCCTAAAAGGAAGGTCCGGTCATGAAAGATTCTGGAACACATGAAGTTAATAAATGGTGGTTACCAAAGAATTTTTGGACAGACTGTGTCTTCAATTTATTTACAAAAAATTACCATCTGACGAAATTATACAACTAAATTTTATTTTTAGTTTTAATAATTTGGTAATTATAAAAAACAACTAATTAAAAAGCTAGAGAAGCAATAGCATATGTGCATAGTAAGCTAAATGCTGTTTTATTTTGTCTTTATGCCATACTTAAAGGGATGTGAGGGCTTCATTAGAAGTTGTGAAAAATTCTTTATATACCCACCACATTCATTTGCCAGTATAAGTCTTTTATAAACCACCAAAGTCAGTCATGTATATATATATATACAGTCGACCCCCCTATAAGACAGTAGATACGTTCCATTCTTTAGGAATCCGATTTCTTACGAGTCCTTCCAATCACAGCCTGATACGTATCAAGTTTACGGACTACGGCTGTTTGAAAGGTTTTCTTCCATAAAATTAATCGATTCTAGACTAATCCAACTCAACATTTCCAAAATACATATATTTTTTTTGGAAATAATCCATATAAACTACGCTATAAAGAAAAAATTGTAGGATTACTTACCGAGTGTGCACCATTCGACATCGCCATTGCTCAAGCTTGTTTTCGTCGCGGAACAGCTCAGCAAACCGCGGCCGATTTCTAATAACTTATTTTTCTGCGAAAACTTCGTTGAACTTTGGAGACATCATTAATATAAATAATTTTAATCGCCGTTGAATAAGAAATGTTTCTTTCACAAGAAATGTATAAAATTACAGTACTGTATTAGACTTACGGTACCTAATTTACATACTGTACAGACGATAGTTAGCGTAAAATCTCCGTAGCGTGGCGCCACGCTAGACGGCGGAAATTATATATTTAATTATAACAAAGTTACAATAAGTTAATATATAATTATATATACAGTACCTAATTTATATATAATTAATATATAATTATATGTACAGTACCTAATTTATATATAATACTGTACAGACGATAGTAATCTCTCCGTAACGTGGTGCTTGACAGCGCGGAAAGTAGTTCGGCTGCCCGATGATGTTTTACGTAATTATAGAAGTTTTTTTTACCGTTTTTTACGGATACCGTCGCAATTTTTTCGCTGTCTTATAGGAATCGTAATTATAGGAACCCGTTTTATAGGGGTCTACTGTATATATTTTAGTTCTCTCTCATCTTCTGTATTCCAATAATTGTTTGCATATTTTTAGTCTGATCAATGAAAGATGAATTTTTCAAAAACATTTTTGATGAGTGGTTTGTCAGTCTCATTGATGATTAAGATAACAGCTTAACTGCCTACCTCTGGCCAAATTACTTAATTCTTCAATAATTAATTAGCTGTAATGTAGCTCAATTCAATAAGAATCTGGCTATTTGTTTGAATAATTAAATTATCAGGTTGCTTGTACATGTTATTAAATCTGGGGCCATATTCTGGTCATTGTCTCTGGTCTCTCGTCTCTCACAAGCCGGTCGCTGATTGGCTAATCCAAATGATTAGCCAATCAGCGACCGGCTTGTGAGAGATGAGAGAGCAGAGACAGTGACCAGAATATGGCCCCTGGATTATATAGGAACTATAACTGTGCTAATTGTTAAATAATCCAGATTTAAGCCTTTAGCTAATTAAAATATCAGACTTATATAATTTTAACTTTTCAAAATGAAATTGATATTGTTATCAAAAGAAGTAAACAGATTAATATTATATTGAAATATTATGCTAATATTGATATTGACTGATGTATCTTGTAAATTACATGTTTAAAAAGGAAAATTTGATATGCTTTGTATAAAATATTAAAATAATATAAGAACAAGAAATTAAGTAATTGAATGAAAAACTACAATACATAAGCAATCACTTTTTATTTCATTTGCAAAATAAGTGTAAATAAGTTATAAAATGAATGAATTTCTTTAAAGTATGTTGTTATAAAAAATTTGAATGTTTTTTTTTTTTAATAGATCCTATGTTCCGAGGAATTTACAATGGTTCAAGAAAACATATGGATGATTTGCATGAAGTATTGAAGAGAGGTGTTGCAAATGGCCTTGAAAAAGTACTTATTTAATTATTCAGTTTATTAGACATTGTTTTAAGTAAAAGTTATTAAACAAAAATACAGTATAGATAAAAAATTATTGTATGTATAATATATCTGTAATACGTGTGTATCTTTTTTTATGTATGTGTGTGTAGTGTTAAATGTTTATATGTGTAATAGTAAGTCTTTAGGTGCAGTTGCAACAATTGAATGTACTAGCACAGGTAGAAGAAGATAACTAATATGAGCTTAAATTGAAGTCTAATGATGAAAATGACAAATTGGATGGGAGGAAAAACATTTCAATGAAGAGGAAGTGATGTGTGTTCACAAAAATCAAGTTTTGAAGGGTACTTTGATAGACTATATCCTACATAAGCAAAGAAACTTGCCAAAAAGCAGTGACTTGATGATTAGGGATGTAGAAAATTGGATTGTTTATATTTTCAGAGATGGAGTGCTTCACATCGAAAAGTGGATTAGTGACTCATGATTTGCAATGTTGCTTGGGTAGAGTAATCTTCAAAAGTTCATTTGTGGTAAGGTTCTGCAAAAAAAATTGTAGTAAATGAAGAAAAAAGTACTTCTTAGAAAATTCTCAAAAGTAATTTAAGTCTGTTGGTGTTGCAATTGTAACTTATCACTCATAACCTATATGATTTTTAATGTGTAAGATGTCCTAGTCTTAGTATGATGATATTATAAGATGAATACTCAAAAATTGACAGTCCAGTATTAGAGAAAATGACTTAAACTTTTGAGAGCAGGAAGAGTTGATATGAAATCAATTGATGTATTCACAAGCTGATGAATTATTCTCATTATAAATCTACATGATACCAACAAGAGAAATACTCATGTCAAAAATAGTTGGATTTATCCAGTTTGTTACTGGTGTGAAAAGAAATGAATGAAAGAAGTGAAAATAAATAAGAAACTGGAAAGTGATTTTTATTTGTGTAGCAAAATTTGTTCATACTAAGAAGTATAAAAAGCAGAAATTTTCAACATGTTGAACTGGCAGAGCAATTTGCTCAATGGGAAAATTCATCAGAAATGTCATCACATGTTATATACTATTCACTCTACTTTTTTCATTCCCTGGCAATTAGCTGTGAACTAACCTGAAGTGAATACATAATTTACTTTTGCACTTCCTTCAATAATTGCTTAAAATTTTTCCACTTTAAAATGAATAGCACATAACGAAAAAGAGTGTAGAGTACTAAAAATATGATGTATAAGTGCAAAGTCATGTAAATGAAAAATGTATAATGGAATGGAGAAATTATTATGCAGAAAATATGTAATGTATAATTGCAAAAAATGTACAACTGAGAAATGTGTAAATGGGGTTTCACTATATATAGCTTGTACTAGAATGGATCTGGGCTTTAGGACCTATATAGGGCATGAATCAACTGCTAAAAATTTTCAGTAAGTTATTTGGTAAGAAGTCTATTTGTACATATTCCTTACTTAACAACTGCTCACGTAATGACTTTTTGCTATAATGTCTTTTGAAAAGTTATACCACTTTTTGGGCAATGATTCCAGGTTTTTTTTTTTTTTTTGTATTAGGACTTTTTAATAAATATATATATTGTATACTGGCACAATGAAGTGACTTTTCTTCAACACTAGGCAAGTTTCAATCTTTATTCAGCTAACTGAATAAAGATTGAAACTTGCCTAGTGTTGAAGAAAAGTCACTTCATTGTGCCAGTATACAATACATAAATACAACACGGTTTCGACAACAACAACAAATATATATATGTTTATTTATTTATAAAAAATCCCTAATACAAAAGAAACCTGGAATCATTGTCGGAAAAGTGGTATAACTTTTCAAAAGTCATAGAATAAAGTAGTAAATATTCACTAATTTATTCTAAAATAGACAATAAAATGCTTTTTGTGCATATGGGTAAATTCTATACTTTCAAAGTGTATATTTATTCTTTATTTAGCCAATAAAGGAATTTTTAAAGTAAAATTTGAGTGTTATAACGATAAGCTTGGAATTAATTAAAAAATAGGAAGAAAATGATGCAGAAAGAAGAGAGAATGAGAAAAGTTGCAATAATTAAACAAAAGATTAAAAGGATATCACTCCACAAACAATGAATTTTTTAATGGTAATTTTGAAACCATGTCAGTAATTTATTTTAATTCAAACACAAATTATTTATCGTATTCATACAGACACTTGGCAAATCACAGAATTAAATTTTATTTAGTTGATTTAATTCTGTGATTTGCCAAGTGTCTGTATGAATACGATAAATAATTTGTGTTTGAATTAAAATCAACTAAATAAAATTTAATTCTGTGATTTGCCAAGTGTCTGTATGAATACGATAAATAATTTGTGTTTGAATTAAAAAATTTTTTTTTAATGAAAAAATACTGTCTTTAATGAAGTGGCTGATACAAAAAGTAAAGATTTTGGTTCTTGTAAGAGAGTCAGGGTTTTAGAAAATTGAGATGATATTGATGAATTTTTGCAAACCTTGATGAAGATATGTGAACTTGAATACAAATGTGAGTTCTCTGATGGTAAAGAAGAAAAAGCAAAGAAAACTATGGACACTGCTAAGATGAAATAAATTATGGGGCAAGAAACATTGTCCATAATTTTATTGATAATTATAGATCCAAACATGCCATTGCATATGTTTTGTCTCCAAGAAGATATATGTATAGCTGGATGGCTGAGAAGTTAAGGTGTAAACTTATTTCTTTGGGAAATCTAAATATAAGTCTGGCATATAAGTCTGGCAAGTCAAAAAAACAGGAATTTTAAGGGGATGGTCTGTTTAAAAAATGTTGAATCCCATTCCTTACCACTCAGCCACCCCATTGTACACCTAGTCAAACTCAGTGGGTCTGATTGAAGGATTACTTAGAGCCCACAGGACAATAAAAGTAAAAAGAAAAACAATGCATAAATGTAAACTGTGAGAAAGGAAACAAAGTTTTATCTTGAATTTCTTCAACTCAGAAATATTTTCAATCTAAAAGAGTTAAGACCACTTGGTAGTCTAGAATGATATAATAAACACTTCAATCATAAGCCTTAAACTGTATTCCAATGAGTTTCATATTTGAATTATATCTTCACTTGAATGCAATTTAAGGTGTTTATTTCCAATTTTTGGGATCTATCAAAGCCTTTCATATCTGAAATTTTTTATGTGAAAGTATCAATAAAAAGAAAATTATTATCAAGTATATCAGATTTAGACATGGAATCAGAAGGTAAATAGATCACTTGACTATACACAACTTTCTAGAGAATGATTTCCTTGATCTCCTTTATCTTCATTATATTATATCTTTTGTTCAAACTGTATTTATTTACATTCAGGTTGTTATTTATTACTATTAATTGATTTATTTTTCAATCTGACAATTCGTTGGTTATCTTTGAGATTGAATGGTCAGTTTGCATTATAATTTTTCCCATTGAAATTAACAGGATTTGCATGTTTATTTTACAACATTATGCTTTGCAATAGAGTTTTCAGGAATGAATTAGACATTAAGTGAGGAATAGCTGTATTCAAACTAATATCAACATCTTTAATAAAATGTTAATAGTTTATGTAGCGTAGTATCACTACAAAACTGGCACATATGATATGTAACAGTAATTAATAAATAACTATTAGCCTTCTGGCCTTATTGTTATGATTTCAGATTTATCACACACCTTTCTGATTTTTATTCATTAATGCATGATGTCCCAGAATGCACTTTGGCTTATTCAACAGCCCTCTTTATATGTATATTGTATTTTCATTTATTAGATTCTTTTATATGTTTTTAATTATAATACCATGTTGTCAAGATATATATATATAATCCAGCTGAAAATGGCTGTTGAATAAGCTGAAATGCATTCCAGGACATTATGCATTAATGAATAAAAATTGGAAATGTGTATGATGAATCTGTAATCATAATAATAAGGCCAGCAAACTTGTATTTATTTATTACTAATTAATAGACAATAAGAGATTAGAATGTTATATTCTGCCATTTGTATTAGTGATACAAATAAATGATTTGGAGGATTATTTATTTTCATCACTAATACAAATAAATAGCAAATGGCACTACCAGCTTCTAAACTATGGATTGGTTGCATTGTTGACATTATGTTATGTACTTTATGTTAAACAAGTTGACCAAACATAAGCTTTGCATAAGCATAGTTGGAAATATTTATGAAGACCTGCTGAAGTTACAGTAAGCAGAATGCTGTCCCCATTCATTTTCCATTTTGTGATAAAAATTTGCATTTTATAACCATGGTGTAAGTTGACTCCTTGTTTTGGAGAGTTATTTTATGTGCCAAATTTATACTGGTAGTAATTTTTATAGACTACATTACAGATCAGTTAAAATATTTGTGATATATATTAAATAAATTAAGCTTTTTTTATTTCTTTTGTTACAAGAATATTTAAAATTGTGTTTTATTTTAACTAATATTATTATAATTGTTGTTATTATTTTTTTAAGATTATTGTAACTGGTGGCAGTTTAGAAGATAGCAGATCAGCCTTAGAATTAGCAAAAACTTGTGGTATGTAATTCCATTTCACTATTTATATTAAACTAGCTGTTACCCGCAACTTTTGCAAGCAAACCCCATTTATATTCAGTATTTCATCAACCATAGTAATTGTTATATAACACCTACCACTGAGAATCAAACAAACTGTTTTCAATTTGATCAATTTTCTGGAATGTTTACAATCGTTTTATAAATGAACCAATATGCAATAACAAATTTGATTTTAATGGCTTGAACATTTGGTTAAAAATAGAAATATATAAAAATATTTATAACAATGTTTGAAATGTTATCAATTTAATACACCTAAGTACTCAATGAAGACTAAATGTAGTTGAAAACAAAAAATCGCATCTGAAATAGTACAGTAAAAGCCCATTCTTCAGGTTAAGCCTTAATGCTCTCCCCCCCACAGGAGAATTTCAAAAAATTCCTTCTTAGAGTGTGTTTTCATGACGTATCCTAACTGTGTACCAAATTTTACTAAGTTCAGCGGTTTGCTCTGGGCGACAATGAATCAGTCAGTCAGTCAGGACAAATAATTTTATATATTTAGATTGCAACCAGAATTTTTTAAACTTCGTAACTAATTGTTGTTTTATACAGTATAATAGTCATATTTAATTATTGTTAATTTTTGTAACTGTTTTATTTGAATTAATATGAAATTCTGAATTGGTATAATTTTGTAGACATTAATAGTAAATACAGCATTTACTTATTAAAATTAATGTTTTTTTAGTGAAAAAGGGATTTGTGTATTTGCTTTATTTTGTAACTTACATTTTAAAATATAAAGAAATTTAAATAAATAGGCTTTTTAAAACAATTAACTTTTAAAATTCTCTAACAAAGTTTCAAATCACATTATATGAATACATCTTTTTCAAAAACTAAGTATGAGAAATGAAAGAAATGCAGTTATTTATAAAAAAAAAAAAATATTAGCAGATGAGCTAGGTGTTGCTTGGACAAAAAATAACAACAGCAAAGATTAAAATTATTAGATTATTTCATACTTCTAACCCTTCTACTATATTATATTATAGTATTTGATTTATATTTATGAAGGTTATCTTATGTAAGAGTTTATCATACCGAGTGCCCAATCTAACATTTTAAAAAAATTTTTAATTGTGTACATTAGAGGAATAAAGAATTTTTTAAATGTATTAGATTGGGTACTTAGTGCAATAAACCCTTACATAAGATGACCTGTATAGTTATATAGCTGATCTTACCTATTTTCACCAGGTGCGAGAATTAGGTCCCCACTCTTCTGAGGCTAATTAGAGAATATTTTTACAGGTTTAAAAATATGTTTGATTTCCCATAAAAACACAAAAACTGCATCTAAAATAGTATAGTAGAAGCTGAGTTCTTTAGAGTAATCCTTAACCTTATAAAAAGTTGAATTGCCCAGATTATGTATGCTATATAAATTCTACAGTAAATATTATGATAATTTTTATATAAGGTTGATGTTTAATGTTTAATAATTTATAACTCTGATAATTATATTTAATTTACATGTAGATATGTTATACTCTACTGTGGGATGTCATCCAACTAGATGTTTGGAATTTGAAGCTTGTGGTGATCCTGGAGGTTATTTACAGCAACTTAAACTATTGGCATTAGAAAATAGACATAAAGTTGTTGCTGTTGGAGAATGTGGATTAGGTATTTATTTTTATAAATATCATAAACTATAAAATGATAAATTTTATATTAAAAAATTATGCTAAATTAAAATAATTGTTATTATTAGATAACAGTTATTTTAATTTAGCATAATTATTTTTCTGTTTAAATTAACATAATTTTTACCATGGACTTCTGATTATCTAAACAAACTGGGAGTAATAAATGGTTAGATTAATGAAAATGTTAGATAATATGGAAGTGTTAATTGAAGTGCTGTATAAATATGAAATAAAATTGTGTATTTCCAAGATCGTGTCTTCCTTTATTTGATTTTTTTTCTCATTACTAGGTGCATTAATAGACACAAGACATTTTACATCATCTTTATTGTGAATCTTCTATAGGCTGATACGCATTTCAAGCAAAGGCCCCTCATCCATTGGCATGACATCCAGAATTTTCTTTAGGTTGTGTTGATACACACATATTTTTTCGTTTAAAATTATGTGTTTACAGTTAAAATCGTTAAAATATCATTGCAGTTTAAATTATATTTATGATTTTAATTTACAATTACAGTGAAGGTTTCATTGTTTGACATCTAGCATTTTCCAGCATATACTCTTGACATCTGTGTTAACATACATGAAATAAAATTTTTATTACAGATTTACTTGCTTACTTTTTTATCCCTAGCTGAACCATTGCTATTTTTAACCTTTTATTTTAGAATTACATTTTTTACTTCCTATGTTTTTTAAACGATAAAATTATATTAAAGGTAAATACAAGTATTACAACTTGGAAAATAGAATATGATCACAATACAAGTATATACTATATTAAAATTAATTACTAGTGCAGACAAATATATAATGCTACATCCATGGAAGTATTCAATGAACTGATGAGCAGAACAGCAATGGAGTGGCAAAGTAATATACAATCATGCACAGCCCAACATTAAAATATCATAATGGTGGATAACTGAAAATTGGATAATTATTTTCCAATAATTGTTGTGTTTTGTCTGTTTATTTCTTTAGAGTATAATTCTGATTTAAAATAATTTCAATGATAGTTTGAGAAATTTATATGCAACTAATTTCCAGAATTTTTACTTTCAATTTCATAACATTATAAATTTCAATTTTCTAATTGAAAGATTATAAGTATCATTTGTATGTGTTGTTATATATATATAATTATGCTAAATTAAAATAACTGTTTGTTTTATATATATACATATATATATATATATATGTTATTTTAATGTAGCATAATTATTTTTCTGTTTAAATTAATGTAATTTTTACCATAGACTTCTGATTATCTGAACAAAATGGTGTAATATATATATATATATATTACACACAGTAAGGCTCTGCCTTCCACAACCAATATATTCCAATATCTCACATCTAAGTTGAAAATCAGATAAAATAGCAAATCGTACAAAGTATTTCCTATAATGACATACTTATCACACTTTTTTTTTATATAAATAAGTCAAATAAACATTACATTAACAATAAATATAGATGATACTGTAAATCATAAAAATAAGTTTTAAAATATTTTTAAGTAGACTTTTCTTTCCTTGCTAAAATCTAAAATTTTAATTTTATATCTAAAGTACACCACACTTTACAGCCTTTTTTTGACTTCTTACCAAAATTATCAGCATTACTATTCTTGCATTTTTGAAGACATGTTTGCAAAGTAATTAGCATAAATGAAACAAAGAGAAACTGATATATACTGACACAATGTGTTGCAAGTGAAAAATCCAGACAAACACTAATGCAAATCCCAGTATTTAGTGCAAAACAAAGAAATGAGTCCAAATAATGCTTTTTCCAGAATGAGCATGACTGAGCGAGATACTGTGACACTTCATCAGCTTAAGAAATGGCAAGGATTTAACATGCAATTAAGATCTTTTCTGAAACTGCATGTGATGAGTCCATAATAGTGTTTTACAGTGATATTTTATATATATATATATAATAACACTGTAAAACACTATATATATATATATATATATATTAATTACAGAAGAGATAAATAAACTTGCAATAGCATTTTAGAACCAAAATTAAATAATTTGTAGAAATAATACAGCATCATCAAAAAAGTAATTGGATATTCTCACTATATATTAGATGTATAATTCAGGAGACAGGAATCATTTTAAGTACATTATCACAATTATTAATTGCAGAAAATTTATAAACAAAATATTTTATTTTCATAAAATTAAATGCTTTTTATGCCTTCAATAAAATTTTGTTAATTATAAATTTATTTAATTTAGACTATGACCGAATGGAATTTTGTCCTAAAGAAACCCAGCTGCGGTGAGTATCTATTCTGTATTTATCATAAAAATGTAACTAATAGAATCTTAACTACAATACCTTAAAGTTTTTAATTTTTTTATTGTTTTTTAATATAAAAAAATTATTCTTAATATCTTCATAAGTAAGTACAGGCATTTCAATATTACTATATTTAAAAACTAAATTGATGACTTGCTGTCATCTATTTATGACAATTTATATCAACAGTATGATTAGAAACAAAATTTATTACTAATCTGGTAAATTATATACTACAAAATAATTTTCAGTTTTACCTAGAGACTTTATTAATGGTAGGAAGAATTTTATATCATATACTAAATTTGATACAGCTGTGACATTTATTGTTAACTATAATACTGAGATAATTATATTAATTTCTTTCCATGTACACATGTATTGTACTGTACATGTATATGTAAATATAAATGATACTGTAAAACATAAAATTACTACATAAAGTGAACTGTTTGAATGTAGATCTCATTTGTCTTAGTTAAATTGCTGTTTTTGTTTCTTCCAGATTGCTTAAAGCTTCACTTTGAATTAGAATGTAAATATTTATTTTTAAAGAGAATATATCAAATTGTTGTCAGAACATTTTTATGTATAATTTAATTTATTTACAATATTATAGGATGAGAAAAAGCATTATTTTGTTTATGGTATAATTATTTAGATACCTGTCCTCATATGAACAATTTCATATTATATTAAGAAAAAAGATTTTCTAAATTTATGCATGGAAATTAAGATAGGATGTTTTAAGACAAGATTTCACATAAAATTTAGCATCTAAAACTTTAGAATGCTATATGTATATTTAAAAGAAATTAAATTTGATATGAAAGACATTTTATATTTTCAATAAAATATAATAATTTACAAAATAATTTATGTAATGTTTTTACATTTTTCATTTAGCTATTTTGAATGCCAATTTGATATTGCTGAAGCTACACATTTGCCAATGTTTTTACATTGTCGTCATGCATCTGCAGATTTAGTAACTGTTATTCGTCGCAATAGAGATAGATTTCCTGTTGGAGTAGTAAGTATTATTTTCTTATGCTAGATTTTTTTACAATATTTACAATGAGCTTCAAAATTAATTTTATATGTGAAAGGAATCAGGGAAAAAAACTGATAAAATGACTAAATTGATTCCTGGTCACAGAATAAGGGTTTTGAAATTGATTCTGTTTAGTTATAGCAATGCTGGAGTAAAACTTTGGGAACAAGAATCTATGAGAAATATTTTTCTGACATATGTAATCTTGGGAGATATTTTGATTGGCAAGTTTGCATTAGCATTCCAAGCAAGCACTGTGTGTTTAAATAACAGCCTGTACATTGTCATGTTAATTATAAGGAAATATTAGCTGAAATTAAATATTTCTATTAAAGATTTTAGAGATATTGCATTAGTACTCAGTATAAGATATAAAATTCACATGGAAAGAACTGGTGTTTGATTTGATTTATAGTGAAGCTCACAGAAATGCCAGATAGGTAAAACAAATTTATCAGCAACACAGTCCATGGAAACAACTGGCACATCAAAGGAAAGAGTATACCAGTAAATATTACACAATGTCAATTGTGCATGGATGGGTAACATTTGGAGTAACTCTTAAAATAATGTACAATAAAAAAATAAAGATGAATGAAATCTATTCATCTTTCCATTAAATTGTCATAGAAAAACTATATGTTAGTTTTGCTTGTAAAACAATGTTTACCATGCTTGATACAGAATATATCAGAAAGGGAAACCTACTTAGAGATACACAATAAAAATTAATCAAGTAATTTATTATCTCAAAACTCTTATTTTGAACAAATAATTCATTTTCTCAGTTTTGTTTTACACTGTGCATGTTATTTAGAATGTAAAATTTACTTTACAGTCTTTTTTTTTATAATTCGTAAATATTGTTTAAGACAATGCTATTTATAATATTTACTTTAATAGAAATTGAATTATTTTATACTGTAATTTAACAATCTGTTTAATTTACTTAATCAAACAAGAACTTTAAAAATTTATGGTATATGACGAAATCTTGTATATAGTGTTATGAGAAAAATTTTTATTAAATAACAGATCCTTATCTGTTATATGGATTATTTATATTAATTCTATATGTAATTATTGATCATATAAAAATTGACAAGAATTTACTAATATGAAGTTATACACTAAATTTTTATGATACAAAATAAATAAAGTTATTGAAATGTTATTAAGCAAAGAGTAAGTGATTTTTTTAAATTATTTTAATAGCAATTGTTAAATAATTGTAGAATATTTCCAATAACTATTGAATGATTTTGTGTAAAAGCTTTTAGATACAAATTTGGTAAATGTCACATTTAGATTTTCATGTATATTTAATAGAACACTCTTAATGAATAATATTCAAATAATACTTCTATGACAGTAATTTTTAACTTTTAATTTTATCAAAAGTCTTGATTTCTTGGACATTTTTGTTAAATTTACTAATAACAAAATGCCTATATTAATCTTTGCATCTTTATTTATGGAATTTATTTAAAATTCTCAAATATTAAGAATTTTTTGGAAATTAACTTTTAAGAGATTTGATAACTATTTTCCATAATTTTGAAAATAATTTTAAGTATATATACAGTTTTTCTAAAATATTTGTAGCAAAATTTTAAGTTATTTAAGTTCTTTTTACTAATTTTATTTTCTTAAATGAATATTTAAATATCATTATCCAGTTAAATAAATGTTTACATTTTATCAATGAAAAATATTTAATGATTATGTTAACAATTATTAAATATTTAGGAATGTGAACTTCTTAATAATATTATGTTAACCTAAAAATAATATTCATGATATATTTTTAACAGAATTATTCTTTATTTGCATATAATAATATGTAAATGAAGATAAAAAATATACTGGATTTAAATTATTTTAAATTTATTTCAGGTGCATTCTTTTGATGGCACCAAGGAAGATGCCAAAGCAATACTAGATCTTGGTTTATATATTGGTATAAATGGGTGGTATGTACTTTAAGTGATTTTTATTTGTATTATTTTCTAATTGTTTGAAACTAATTTAAAAAAAAAAAAATTTGCTGCTCTATAGTATACCATGTCTCACTGTTCAGAATACTTAATAAGTATACTTTCTCATACAATAATAGAATAATATATCCTATTGTGTCAATATGTTCACATAAGAAGAATTTTATTTTACATTTTTAAAATACAAGAATAAGTTTAAGTGAATTATAAACATTACAACTATTTTATATGAAATCAGTTTAAGAGCTAATATAAAATTCAAACTGAGATTATATTTTTATATAATAACTGATGTAAGTTTGGAAATATTTGTTGTATGCTTTATATAGCTCTTACTAAAAATTTAGTTTCAGCAATTCTTTATCAATTCATTGCATTTTTAGTATGTCATTGTTGAAATACAGCTCATAATTTGATATTTTTGTTAAAAATTCCAAAAATTAAATATAAAGTATAATGACAGCAATTTATTATTTGTTCAGATTAAAAATGTTGAAACTTGTGCTGAAAAATTTAAATAATAATTTTTGTCAAATTATTTTTAGATAAATATAATTTGAAGAAAAAAGTAATATATTATAGAGAAATGAGTCTTTCATAAGGTACTGAAGGAATATATAAATTTAAAATGCATTTTATATCATGATAAATTTTCTTTTTAACAAAAATATCAAAATAAATAAATAACGTTAACCAGTGATTTAATAATTCTGAAATTTTCATAATAAGTAAACAAAAACTTAATTAATTAAATGCTTATAATATGTGAAAGAAGAAAATAATTATGACTATTTCGTAGAAATGACATTTAAGTTGAAGAATATTATAAATTTTAGAGATTTAAAGAAGAAAACATTTAAATATATGTTATTGATAAATATGAAATCATAGTATAATAATTATGGAAACTTGCATCTTTTACTTTAATCACCAATAAAAATATTTTACTCCTATTTCTAATCTAAACTTGAAATTTTGTATAATAATATTTCCAAATGTTATTATGCAAAATTTCATTAAAAAAAACTCCATTTCATATGATAAATTGTGACTTGAGATTATTTAGATAAAACATACAATTCAAAAGCTTAGCTTAATTTATGAATTTGAAACTACTTATATGAAATGCATGTATGTGTGTGTTTACATGTGGGTATGTACTGTATATACATTATATGATTTGTTTGTAAATAATAAATGTATATTTTTGCCAAGCATGTGACTATTTTAATTCAAAAATAAAACAGTACATTTATTTTATAAAGTCACTGATATGTTGTTATTAAAATTTATTTTCATTTTTGTTGTATTTTCATAGTTCTCTTAAAACAAGAGAGAATTTGGAAGTTGTTGCAACACTCCCTGCCGACAGATTAATGATTGAAACTGGTATGTGCTTCATTTAATCTAAATTAATAGTGATATCAATGCATATGCTTTAATACTTAATTAAATAACAGATAAAAATTCATATAATAAAACTTGAAAATTTTTTATTTTTGACAACTGATTTTTTTTTATGAAAGTGATTTCTAAATAGTAAACTCAAATACTCTGTTAACAACTGCATAACTATTTAAATTTAGAAATTAATAATCACTGCAATAACCTGAAAAACCAGCAACAGTACTATTTTAAACAAAGTACAAGCTTTTCGCCTGTGTTGAGCAGGCATTATCAGGCAACAAACTGTTGAAAAAACACTGGGGATTGCAGAATACTTGTATAGGGAGAAGGGTGTGTGATGTAAGATGGAAGGTGAATGGAGGGGAAAGGGAAAACTTATAATTCATAGAAAAACTTCCAAGCAGTGGGGAAGGAGTTAACATCATGATAGTTTATGGCTGAGTTATGGCAGGTGACCTTGTATATTTCCACTTGTTCCAGAAGTTTAAGGACATATTGTTTAGATGCATTTTGTAAGAGGTATGTCTCATGGAAATGTACCTGGATGCCTGGTTGGATGTGTAGATAGCCAAAGGTGTATAGGTTAAATTTTTTTTGGTGGATGTTTGATATTTTTTGAGATGTGTATGTAACAGACAAGACATAGCTCATATGTATTGTAAGCAGCAGTTGTAGCAATGGTCAGTGATGGGGATACTGTAGATGCCTGGCAGGTGGTACTTGTTGGGACAGTCTTTGGTGTTGCGGAGGAGCAAGGCAATAGCAGGTCTTTTGCAGAAGGCTAACCGAAATTTGTTTTTTCATGCAATCTCTTTGTATAGGGTGGCAAGAGACTTACAGGTGACAGCCGTGAACATTTTTTCTTCATTAGAGGGTTTAATTAGTTGGGTGGAGGCAGTCTTGGAAAATAAGTCCTCCAATAGTGTGTGGGGAGTAGCCATGTTGGGTGATAATACAAAGCTCCTCTCTTTCCTGTTTGCTAGAAGAATGAGTAATTGTTCTCCAAATTAAGGCTCTGAAAGCAGCCAATTTGAATGTGAAAAGATTATGGTATAAAGGTTAGGTGGTGGGTGAGTTTCCTGTAAACTTGCATAGATATGCATCTATGGTTTGTGGTAAGCTGGAGGTCCAGGAAATGAATGAGTGGGCATTATCCTGTTCAAGACAGAACAGGTTGAAGGGATTGTGGTTGATCATCTGTAAGAAATCCATAATGACTGACTTATGCCACCAAATTATAAAAATATTGTCTATATATCTGGTATACAAGTGAATATGGCTGGTAAAGGTTGGAAGGACGGTGGTATCAAGTTGATGCACTATTAATTTGCATAAGATACTAGATAAAGGGCTGCCCATAGGGACCCCTTTATTTTGTAGGAAAGTTTCTTTTGAATGTGAAAAGGGATGAGTGGCAGAGAAGGTTGGTTAATTCAAATATGTGTTTGTTAGTGTCCTTAGGGGAGGGAGCAGAAACAAGGTTCAATGCAAATAGAGGGGTATAGCAATTGGAAGTCCAAGACTGTGTTTTTCTCAACAGTTTGTTGTCTGATGATGCCCATTCAACATAGGTGAAAATGGTCACACTTTATTTAAAATATTATTGTTGCTGGTTTTTCAGGTTATTGCAGTGTTTGTTAATTTTTCAAATACTCTGTTGTTGAAGTAAAGTGTGATTAGTTAAACATTAAAATTGTAATTTAGTGTTTGTTAAATAGTAAAACACTCAGTCAAATAAAAAAATGAAAGTCAAAATTCAACTACAAAGCATTTGTTTATGTAAAACTTTTTCATTGTATGTTCTGTTTGAATTGTTGAGAGAAATTGCTCAAATGGTCAAATGCAAATGATTACAGTTTATTGATGAAATTTATTACATGATTATAAATACTTTTATAATTCTGAAATGTCATTTTTATGAAAATAGTATAGTTTGTTAATATTCTTAAATCTATAAAGGATATTTAAAGAATATGTCTGTAAATATATTGGCAGTAGTCTTTTTTATATATATGTATATTTAATGTAATTATAAGTATAATTTGATGATTCAAGATTTCAACTTTGTAGACTTTTGGTTTTGAATTTACAAATTCATTTCTATTTAGCAATGAAAAGAATTATGTAAAACATGGCTTCTGCTCTTACATGTATCATTACACAGGCTGTTAATAATATAGAAGAAAAATTATTACTTGTCAGGAAGGAATTAATTGATGAAATTCTGAATGTTTTTGAAAGACATGATATTCATAATTTATATGCTTAAAGTTTTATAGTCCTGTATATCTACTTTATATGCAAATAAAGAAAATATAATGAAAGATATCTGACATATAAAACTTCCTCTTATATGTCAGATATCTTCATAGATAAAGTTCATATAGACTGGCAAAATAAAATTCATCAAGAAATAGTGAGAATGTTAAGAAAATATAATAGTGCAAATCTTTTAGAAATACAGTATTCAGATAACTTAATTGGAAAAGTTTTTTTTGAAGTTACAGACACTTGTTATGAAATATTTATTAGAAGAACTAATACATATGTATCTTCATTAAAGAAGAGAAATATAAACAAGTCACTGGTAGACCCTATTGCAGTTTATTTTAGTAATCCTAATGAGAAACTTGACATTGTATATTGGACACAACAATCTGCAAGTTTCCCTCCAACTACTCATCAGTTTGATTAGAACAAGAAGTCATTCTTATCTAACAGTTAATAAATGAGCCAATTGAACAAGACTATATTAAATGAAGAAATAAACAACAGAGTATGAGGAAGTTATGTCATATTAGATGATGACAGTAAACAATATATTTGTTCAGTAATCTGGTTCATATATTTGTTGATTGGACAATCAATTATCTGTTTGAAGATAATTGATGATCCAATCAACAAATTGACTTCAAATAATAAGTTAAAAGATCAAATGTAGATTGTTGACAATGACAATTTTTATTTTTTATGCTTCTTCTGAACTACATGTATGCCACTGGTTAAGTGTATATAAAAATATAAGATGAAAATATCGTTTTTAAAAAATTAGGTTTAAAATCCTATAATTAAAATTTATATAATACCGTATAAAAATTATTTGTTGGTATAATTTGAATTTTTTTATACAGTTGACTCTTGACATGGCAAACAGTTTTGTTGGTTCTTTATGTATATTGTATAATTGAATAAATTAGCTCAGTTTTTTGAGAGTTCAATGTACAATAAATTGTTGAAAAGTTATTATTATCAATCAACTATCAAATATTACTTTATTAAAATATTTTAAACAGTTAAAATTTAGTTTTAAAAACTTAAAACTTTTCTTACAGCAATTATTATTTAGTATTAATTATTTAATTATTTTATATTGGAAGAATTTTATTTAGTTTTATTAAAAAAATTTTTAGACTCTCCTTGGTGTGAAATTCGTCCAACTCATGCTGGTGCCAAACTTATTAAAACAACTTTTCCTTGTAAGAAAAAAGAAAGATTTGAATTGGGCTTCCAGGTGAAAAGCAGAAATGAGCCAGCTAATATAATGTAAGAATATATTATTTAGACTTATGTATATTAACATAAGTTTTTGTTTGTTTGTTTATATTTCATGCAATTAAAACTTCAGTTTTATTATGTAATTGTTTAGTTATTAATATATATTACTTATATTGCTGAGAGCATTGTTTTTATAATTTAGTTTTAATCCTGTTACTAGTATTTACTTAGTACAAAAGTTAAAATTTTAATTTTGTTTTCATTATCTACATTTTTCTAGTTAGATAAAATTAATTACACATTTTACTTTTTAATTCATTCGATTATGCAAAAACTTAATTAAAATTTATTTCAGTATTTATTAAAGTATTTTATTTGAAATATCATCAATAAATTATGTAAATATTAATGATGGTAAATTTTCATTGGGTAGAAATAATTGAAATTTAATTATACTATATTTAAGATAATTTATCTTGACATCAAAATAGTTAAAACTTGATTTGGATGAAATTTATAATTTTAGAATTAGTCTATTACAATCTGTATTTCACTTTCTACAGAAATTTCTGAAAACAAAACATGAAATTTTAATAAGACATTTCCTCAGTGTAAAGCTATATTTATGGAACCTTTATGTCATGTTTTATATAAATAAAAAAACAACATAATTCTATAAATATATACATATTTTTGAGTTTTATAAATAAAACACAATATACCTGATTGTTCGGTGTATAAAATTCAAAACCATGCTAAATAAATAAATATTTTGTTTAAAAATAAAAAAATTCCAAAATACTTTCACTTTTTTTTCAGCCATCTACTTTACACTTAATTGCATTTTTCGTGGCTATTTTAATCAAATTTTGTTATTTTAATAGGTAAATGATATTAAAATATTTAATTTAAGATCTTGCTTTCATTTTACATGACTAAAATAATTTGATATTTTTTTTTGAAGAAATTATACTTGCTGCTTTTGTATGGGCTTTTAATAAATCAAATTATGCAAATAATGAAATAATGAATGAAATGAAAAATTAATGTCCTGTAAATTGTGTGATTTATAACAATTGTAATGTCAGTTGTGGAGCAGAAACTATGATAAAAGGAATTTTAATTTTATCTTTGTATAAATATAGACATTTAAATTTATTTCATCCAAAACAGCATTAACTAGTAAAATCTATACAGCTAAATTGATGAACAGTGTAAAGACAAAAGATCCTTTGATTTTAGCAAAACTTATACATAGTGAATATTACAAATTTCTATTCACTTATTTCAATAAAATTTTATTTAAATAAATAATAAAATATATAAATTTACAAAATTTAAGAAAATTTGTAAAAAGACAATACAAAAAAATTCTTCTCACTTGTCCTTTCACACATACATGAGGAAAATAACAGTTCCCAGCGGAGTGACCTTTCATTTGAGACTACTCATTCACCACAATATGTAAAAATGTTAAAGGTTCCTCTAGCAATGGTACAATATTGTAGCCTTAAATGAAAGGTCCACTCAGTTATGAAACTGTTACTTTTCTCATGTGTGTGTGAAAGGACAAGTGAGAAGACACATTTTTTTGTATTGTCTTTTTACAAATTTTAATAAATTCTGTAAATTTAAGAATTTGTGTCCTGGCAATTTCTTAATAAATAAAGTATGTATTATCTAATATTGTTATTATATTGAACATTGTGTTATTTTTTTACTGGAATTAATAATTTGGTATTAGATTAACCAAATAATTATATAATTAGATTCTTTGACTAGATTCTTTGATTAGATTCTAGAAATATTGATGATTAAAGAATCATCAATATTTGGTTGATTCAATAATAATCAAGATAAGCAAAAACTCAATGATCTATGATTTGAATTTTAAAAGAAAATTCTTTAAAAAAAGTTCAGTTAGTTAACTGAAGGAAACACATGGCTTCTTTATCTTTCTTCATCTTATGTCTCTTTCACACCTCAGGAACAAACTGTCTTAGCCATGGCAATATATATAAAACATACTAGCAGATCAGAGCCTACAATAAAAGGTTGACTCTAACAGAAGATTGTTCCTGAGGTGTAAAAAGGATGCAAGATGAAGAAGCCCTGTGTTTTCTTTTGTTAACTTCATGTGAAAGAATTTTCTCCTAAAATTTAAATATTATATCATTCTGGCTGTTCACTAGTTTTATTAATGATCTGTTATGTTTAGTTTCTTTCATATGGTTTAGAATAACTGAAAAACAGAAGTATTTTTAAATAATACAAATTTAGATTTATACTTTCTGTTACTTTTATGTTTTAAGCATAGTTTTAATCATATTTAAAAATTTTTATAGTCAAGTTTTGGAAGTAATGGCAGCAGTCAGAGGAGAAGACATCGATGAACTTTCCAACATTATGTATGAGAACACCATTCGTGTCTTTTTTTCAAGAGGAAAATAAACGGTTTGTTTACCCCTGCCATTTAATATTTCATAGATTAATAATGTTAAAGAATGCAGTGTTTCATGTCAAAATAATGGAGAAAAATTGTTGAGAATAGGATATGTTAATATACTGTTAAGATATGATTGATGCAAATTAGTGGCAGGGGTTAAGATTATTAATGCATGGTCAAAAATAAATGCTGTGATAATTCATTTAATTCTAATAAATAACTTGTGATGTGGTAAAAAATAGTTATAATATCCATATACATTGTGATTACTGTGTCATTTTAATGCCCGTCAGATAACTTTCACGGGCAATTTATAACTGTTATCATCATTGTATATTCATATCATCAAAAAAACTTTTCAAATTGTCATAAAACAGAAGCGCAGCTTCAAACATTATGCATCTTTATAAACTCTCTTATATCAAAATTCTGTTAAAATAATATTTAAAAGAAAAAATGACTAACTTGCTTATAATTAATTCATACTTCATTATTGTATTGTTGTGCAGTAATGTCATTACATATATTAGATACAAAAATTATAGTTTCTTAAAAAATTCTTGTTAAAAATATCATAAATTTTGTTATGCAGGATTAAATTGTAAACTCTTGTCTTTCATTCTTAAAAACCAAATATTGATAAATACAAACATTATTGTGGTAGAAATACTTACATGCAATTTAAATAATGCAAACAACATTGATTAAAAAGTGTTTCAATGTGACGTAGATATTCTTTTGTGTTCAGAGATTAAGCTTGCAATGTGAAAAATGCTAGAAATAAACAGAATTTTCTAATAATTAATATTATCCTAATTTTAACGTCTTACTTTTATTTTTTAGAATTTCATTTTGTACTTTTACTCTTATTATAATTTTATAAGTTAAAATCAAGTCTTGATAATTTATCAGATTATTTCTTACAATTTATATACTTTATAGAATATTTCTTAACATAATCAAAATTAAATATTCATGTATTGTAAAAATTAATAATTGTAATTATTTATATATCTAAAATGATTTAGAATGACATTTGGAGGTCAATATAAAGAATTTTTGATCAAATAAAATTTCTCAATAAATACTTTGAAATTTTATTTTGTCATTCATAAATTGTTTATGTAGGCCTTTATGAATATATATATATAGATAGATAGATAGATGCTATATTATTTTTATATATAATTTATTTTATATAATTAAAATCCAATTTAAAATTTTAAGAACTTGTAAAAAAATATTTCAAATTGAATTTTTTAACATTTCTTTGAGTTTTTCTTTTTAACTGAAAATTATTTCTTCAAAGGAAATGTTTGATGTTGAAGAAAAGTATCCTTGCAACTTTTAATAGAGAAGAATATTTTGGTAAATTTTCTATATATTGTATGTATTCAATCGCAGAATTACAATATCAATAAAAATATTTAAATTCAAAATATTTCAGAATATTGTTCATTAATTTTATTTCAATTCCAACAGCACATAGTAATGGTGTTTAAATGCTATTTTGTTATAATTATCAATGTAACTATATTATTTAATAATTAAGAAAATTTAAGACATTTTCTATGTTTAAAGAAAAACTAAATACTGCATTTCTGAATATTTACATATTTTACTATACAACATTCTATTTTATTTTAAATGACATGAAATATTTAAAACTATAGGGTAAAGATGCCTATTATGAGATAGGCGCCAAATATGAGATACCGAGGTTTTGGCCAAACTATTAACGGCAACCATTTGGCGCTAGTGTCACCCGAAGCGTCCTGGCAACACCTCAAAACGTATGTCAGTGCGTGCCGGCCAGAGGCACTGTTAGAAGGTGGTAGTGCGAATTTTCATAGAAGTACGAAACAAGTTTTTTCACATTAAATGTTTACGAGGTATTTAACAACGTTATTATTACGCTAAATTCTTTTCATTTACATTCATTGTATCAATTATACGGTCAATTTCACGATATTAGTGTGGTACTGTTGTTTTCTTTGTCAGCAAAAAAGTAGGAAGCCATTTCGTAAAATTTGGATGTGTTCTCAATATGAGACACGTGGGAGTTCCTAAAATGAGATATCTCATATTAGGATACATGTGTATCCTAATATGAGCTATCTCATTTCATATGTGAGGCGAAAGTATACGTATTAGTTTAAGTTATTTTTTATATATTTTAGATGGCTCCAATTAAAAGGAAAACCTGGGATCACCATGCCATGATACGAGCCGTGAATGCAGTGCGGAGCAACCAAATGGGTTACTTAAAGGCATCAAAACAATTTGGTGTTCCTAAGGGTACCCTAGAGCGCTACGTCAAGAATGATGCTCATGCTGAAGTACTTGTAAAGGTTCGTATGGGAAGACATCCAGTCTTGCCTGACCATTTAGAAGTAGAGCTGGAAAAATATTGCAAACAAATGGATCGACGATTTTATGGCTTACGTCTGAAGGATATTAAGTACATGGCGTTTCAATTGGCTATCAAAAATAATCTTAAACACCCCTTCAGCTTGTCTAAAGCGTCTGCTGGCAAAAAGTGGCTACGTGGTTATATGAGAAGGCATCCTGCTTTATCAGTTAGAACACCTGAAGCAGTTTCTGCTGCAAGAGTGAAAGGGTTCAACCCTGTTGCCGTCAATAATTTCTTTGACTTATATGAGCCAGAAATTGAAAAGATAAAATCCTCTCCACATAGAGTGTACAACGTTGATGAGACCGGAATAACAGTAGTACAACATAAACGGTCCAAAGTCGTCAGCGTGAAAGGCGAGCAACAGGTTGGTGCGTTGACATCATTAGAAAGAGGCAAACTAATGACCGTAGTGACATGCATGAACGCTTGTGGTAGCTATGTGCCACCATTGATAATTTTTCCAAGGAAAAATATGGGCCAAGAACTAATGGACGATGCACCTGCAGGTTCAATAGGCGATTGTCATCCCTCTGGTTGGATCCAAACACACCAATTCACAAAGTGGTTTCAACATTTTATAAATTTTGTAAAACCAAGTGAAGATGATCCAGTTATTTTGATTTTAGATGGCCACTACACACATACACGCAACATTGATGTAATAAATTTAGCTCGAGAAAATAATGTAGCTATTGTTTGCTTACCGCCACATTGCACGCACAAAATGCAGCCCATGGATGTGGCGTTTATGAAACCACTGAAAACTTATTACGCCCAAGAAATTGAAACATGGCTGCTAAATAACCCTGGACGCACAGTGACCAACAAATACATAGTTAGATTATTTGGCATTGCTTATGAAAAAGCTGCAACTATGAGTAACTCCGTCAATGGTTTTCGGAAAACTGGATTGTTGCCTTGCAATCGCCATATTTTTACAGATGAAGATTTTTCAGTTTTTAATGATGAAGATCAACGTCGAGATGTACTGAATGACCAGACAGATAGACCTTTCCAGACTCACCACGTTTCACCTGATCATGGAGTGTCAAATGAGAATCAGGGGGATCATAGAGCCGAACGCTATGTAACCCCTTCAAATGGAAATCCTCCTGATGAGAATCACGCATTGGCATCAAGTGCTGGCTTATATGAAAATCCAATGCCTAGCACATCGTCTCATGTCTCACCTTTTGCACTTAAGCCAATACCCAGGCTGTCTAGAAATGATTCTGCCAAGAAAACCAGGGCTGGATCAGCTGCCATAATTACTGCTTCTCCATATAAAAACACACTTATAGGATGTTTAAATAAAAAAAAAGAAAAGGAAAATAAAAAGAATCAGAGGAAAAGCTCTAAGAATGCAAGCAAAGAACAGCAGACAAAGAAGAATAATAAGAAAGTTGCAAAGAAAAAGAAAATTAAAGAGCCGGACACTTCCAGTTCTGAAGATGATAACGTACCGGAGCTCGCAGATAGCAGTAGTGATGATGAATCATATGACGCTGAATGTCCATACTGCAGTGGGAGGTTCTCTGAAGACACGAGAGGAGAAAAATGGGCTAAGTGTCAAAGTTGTTTCAAGTGGACTCATGAGGACTGTGGAGAAGTAACTGAAAATCGTTTTTTGTGTTCTTTATGTTTAGATATGTAAGATTTGGAATCCTTTTGAAGAGATCTCTACGCTATCTATATTTGTTGATTTTTGATATTGCTTCAAAAGTGCCATTATAAAAATCGCTGTAATTATATTTTTTATCTTTGATTAATAATTAACAATAATTGATATCTCCTTTATTTTGAAGATTGATGTTAGTGTACATTTAATTATTAAGTGCAAATTAAAAGTGTGATTTTAATTGGGTATGTTTTGTTTTTCCATTTGTTATTTATACTATAAACCTGAAGGAACCTAATATGGGATACTATCTCATATTAGCAACCCCTAATATCTCATAATAGGAGACCATTTACCTAACACGCAATTTCGGACTTTTTTAATTTTATCTAATATAACTAAAAATGTATTCTACTTAGGACTAAATAGCAATTATATTGCTAAATATATTAAATTCACTATTCAAAATTGTAATTTGTGACACTCCAAGTGTAATAGTTATTTTTTTATAGTCAAAAATAAAAATGGTATCTCATATTCGGCATCTTTACCCTAGTTTCTTCACACAATAATATAAACATCTACAGTCAATTGCTAAATGGTTGAGATAGGATCACATCCAGGATTGACTAATCCTAGATATATCAGACTCTCTCTTTCATTACTTGTGACTCCATTGCAGGTTTGGCAACCCAAAATGGGTATCGAATATGCCCTGTTAGTTCCCACAAGACAAAGAATTAAAAATTGTATAGCCAATTCAAAAATTTTTTACATTGTTAATTAATTTAACAGCTTTTCATTAATAAAATTATACAGTGTGCTAAAAGACATATCAGAAAGCTATTGAGTATTTTATATAACAAACAGAAATATTAATTATGAAATAGACTGATATTATTACATCACTTATAATATAGTAGCCTCTCATTATATCATGCCTTTTTGGTCCCCAAATTTTAAAAGCACTTGAGTCAATAAATTCTAAATTACCAATTGCCATTGAATTCTTTTTGCAATGAAATATGGCATTTTATTCCTGCTATTGTCTTTGAAACTACTACTGTGGATGAACCAAATTCATCAGTATCTAAATAAGCAAAACAGGTGGATAGATCTATTATCATTTTATGCTTCCTTTTAATATTAAATGTTATTTATTGGTTTTAAGTACTGTCTCTTCATTTACAAGTCTCTGTGAGTTCAGAATTTTTTAAATTTTCAATTACTGTGTTTTATAGTTTTTATTGAAAAATATAAATTACACATTTTTAATTAATAAGCGATTATGAAATATATTGATAGTACTGTATAATAAAACCACAACTGATATTTTATTTTTATATTGACAGTATTTGTCTTTAAATGTCATTGTTGAAGAAACAATAATGCTAAATGGGCGTCCGTGGTATGGATGTTTATATAAATATCAATTAATATGATATAACCACAAATAAAATTAAGTATTGAAAAACGAAGCTTATTTTATATCAGAAACATTTTCTGATGAAAGAATACAGGATAGAGAGTCTATAGCATGTATAATCTGTTTAGTATAAGACCAGAATTTTCAGTACTCTGTTATATTGCACTTTTTCTTTGTCTCCTGACAAGCACAACGTTACAAGGGGCTACTGTATTTGATTATTGAGCACTATATGTAGATGGTTTCATTGATAAATTAAATATGAATAAATTATGTTATAAAAGTGCTATAATATAATATTTAAACTTTCCTGCATTTCATTTCTAGAGAGTTAATATTTTGTCTTTAATAAATACTGTACAGAAAAAATATTATACAGTGTCAAAGTAATGGATGAATCGACTTTGATATCATAAAAATTAGTCACAAAATACACTGATTTTTAAGAGGTATTTTGATTGTGTATTAATATATCAACATTCTCTTTATAATTTGAAAATTTTATTTGTGAATATTAAAAATTTTTTTTATTTAAAATTTTCTGTAGCATTTATAAGTCATGTTCTTGAATTTTCTATTTACAATTGCTAAATACTTACTAAAAGTGACAGATAAGAAGGATTTTTGTATAAATATTGGGGGTTCTTTGGAAAGTAATTTCATTGTTTTTTTCTTCCACAAAAAAAAAAATTTATTTTATATATATATATATTTTATTGAATTGTACATTGACTGTTTTGGTCAGATACCCATCATTCTGGTAGTAGCATGATTCCACATTCATAAAAAATTTGATCTTTGCTTACAAAAACCTAATTCAAGTGATTTTTTTTACATCTTTATTTGAATAAATGTTTTACCGTTTAAAAAATTTTGTAAAGACTGGAACAAGTGATAATCCAAGGGTGCCAAGATCTGGCAAATATGATGAGTGGGGTAGCACATCCCATCCAAGCCATAACAGTTTCTGAAGAGCTACCAAACTTGTGTAGATCTGGCATTATCATTGTGAAACACTACATTTTTCTGTTGACCAAGTTTGACCTTTCCTGTTTAATGATATCACTCAGTTTGTCTATTTGATAGCACTACACTTTCCAATCAATTGTGGAATTGTTCGGTAGAAGCTCAAAAAAAAAAAAAAAAAAAACTTAAAATCCCACCAAAGAGAGCATCTCTTTCTTTAAGAACATGTGGAACCCATATATCGAGCTTTGAAACGAAACCAAGTCATTTCGAGTGATCATAAACAGTTCAATTCAACAAATTCAATCTCCTAGCAAATTCTTGTATTGTTATTTGGTGGTTTGCTTCAATCAATACCTTTATTTTGTCTTCATCAGCTTCAACTGTCCTTCCAGAACGTGATGCATCTGTAATATTGAAATTGCCAAAATGAAATTTTGTGAACAAGTTTTGGCACTGTTGTCCTGTCAACACATCTTCTCCATGCTTGTCACATAATTTTTTTCTTGCTTGAACATCATTTTTATTTTTTTGGTAATAAAAAAGCAAAATATGCCAAAAATGCTGATTTCGATTATCTATATTTTATGGGACACCAAAAAAGAAGAATTGCACAGAATCAAAAATTTTTTACAAGTCTTGAAATGTCAGTTGTCAAAATATATAATGGCAATATGGTTTAAGTTGAAGTTGTATTTTTACCCACCAATTAATTCCTTTGGTGGTAAAAAAAAAAAACAACAACAAATTTTCCGAACAACCCAATATTGTTTGACGTTGTGATTAGCATTAAATATATTCAGTTGCAAAGATTTAGCTTTAAAAGTTATAACATAGGAACAATTTAATTATTTGATTTTAACCACATTCACTTATTCAAATTTTTGATGCTGAAATCATGTTTTTATTTATCAGTAACATGTTTTAGACACGTGTTCATGTTTTAACACGTGTATAGAGATTAACAATATTAATCTTGTTGATAACCTATCTTAATGTTTAGTTTTTCCTTGATTATGTTTTCATTGAAAGATTCCAAACTTTATTATGTTTGAGAATTGTTTTAAGTAAAAGAAATAACACCAGTACTTAAAGCCACTATGAATCATAGAATTTATATTTTATAAGTAATTATAAAAAATACACACAGAAAATTTTTTAAATATTAAAATTATAAATATAAACTGCAAAAATGTATATAAATAATAAAGCTCTTATAACAATGTTCTCCAAGAATTAATTCTTACTATAAAATCAATATGTCATATAATAAATTTCATGTTATGAAGTTACAATAGCAAATCTAACTTATTTTTTTAACGCATGATTCCACATTAGATTGAAGAGTAATTTTGCTTATTATTTTCTTAGGTATCTATTATACAAAATAAGAATTAAAAAAATCCAGCAATGAGTTTCATAACTTTACCGGCTAGTGTGAGATCTTATTCAGAATGTAACTTTTATAATTTTAATTACAATATAACTTAATAAGTGTGACACCACACACACACATATATATATACACATTGAACTTCAACACATTACAAAAACCTTAGTAGTATTATACAGATCAATTATAAATATATATTCTTATAAAATTCTGCTATATTTGCCTGTCAATAAAAATTTTAATGACAATTTTATAGTTATTTTTTTTATTTTAAAAAGAAATTTCTAGAGTAATGAATTTTTTGGAAATTTTTACAAACTCTAAACTGTTCTCTTTCATATATCATCAAATGTTTTTCATCTATTAACTTATACTTAATAACACCAATCAAATCGTTGTCTATTGATTTTCTTTTTGAGAATTGTAAGCCCTTTCTGGAAATTGTGATATCACATCTTTTTAAATATAATTGTTATGAAATTATATCTGGCAATTTCTTATAATATAATTACAAATCAGTTATAAGATAACAATTGTGCAAAGTTCAGCTAATAAAAAGATTGATTATTTATATTATCAAATGAAAGATTAAATGATCATTTTATTGTAGATAGTCATTAGTGTATGCATCTAAGAAACTGGTAAGTCGAACATTTTCTAAAATCATACAAATATGTCATAATTTATTTATGTTAATAGATCAATTTATTATAAATTCTGTGTTTATTATACACAAACAATAATATTTATTAAGAATACATGTATTTTTTAATGAAGAGAATACAAAAAGTTATATAGATTTTTCATTCAGCAGTATTGTTGAGTGAAGGATTTATATATACCTTTTATGTAGTGGTTGTGTGATTGTGTACATTGCATGTTAGATATATTAGCTTTTCTAGCTTTTTATACATATGTTATTAAATTAAATATTCTGAATCTTCTATAAAATTGCAGATATTATTTTCATATTAAGGATAACAAACTTTTTATGGAGCATTTGTAATATACAAGAACACATTTCTAGTAAAATCCTTAACATTTACTATTAAATTAACATTTTTTTAATCGTATTATACACATTTTATATTAAAATACCAATTACTTTAACAATAACAGATTGAGATCTTAGAAAGTTAAGATATAATAATAATTAAATCTCTGATTTAATTATTAACGTTATATCTTAACTTTTCAAGATCTAACTTCAATAATTAAATGCTCGTATTCTAAGCAATTTTAATTTAAATGCAATTATCTTCTCTTAGCATTTATCATGTTTAATGCTTGTTTTTACCATTATAGAAATGGCTCACAAAATTTTTATAGATTCCTCAAAAGAAGAAAAATTATATACTTGGAATGAAAAAGAACTACGAAGTTTCAAAGATATCATCATCAGTAAGTACAGCAGGCAAAAATATTAAGTTGTTATTATTCATAATGTAATTAATGTATGAGAAAATTTGATGATAGCTCTGCTGTAATGGTTATTATTTTACAGAAGAGAAAATAAATTGTCGCATGGACGACTTGTTCCTCCTGAGCTTCCTCAGAGCTAGGAAATTCGACAGAGAAAGAGCTCTTAAATTACTAAAATCGTATTACTCAGCAAGAAAAAGAAACTGGGATATGTTCAACGATTTCAATCCTTTGGCCATGAAAGAATATTTAGATATGAAAATGGTTGGTTATCTTCAACAAACTGATCAGGAAGGACGAGTTTTGGGAATTGGAAGAAGTTGTGCGTATCCAAAAAAAACTTTCTATGATAAATGTTTACTTAGTAAAAATATAGTAAGTCTTTTGATTAAAAGAGAGATTTTAAAAACATTGCCAGTTTTAGTAACATTTTAAAAATATTTTGATTTTTTTTATATTATTTAAATAAAATCTGTAAGGATTTTAAATGTAATCAGCTGATATCACCAATTGCTTACAACATTAGAGTCAAAGTTTACTTTATATCATTTGACATTGACAAAATTTTTTTCCTGTGATATAATTACTCCAGCTCCAGGATATCAGATTATTTTATCAACAATGGAAAACTTTGTTGCATGTGATGCTCAAGTTTATTTTTAAGTATATAAATTTTTTTATCTTTTATCATATCTTTTTAATGCATAATTCAATGATTCAAGATACTATTAATAGAATACATGACAATGAATAATATCAGCTAGTAATATTAGGCTACATTTGTATAAGATAGAGGATCAGTAATGCCGGCTTTGAGAATTATTTATGACTTCAGAATAGTTTTTCAAACTACTTGTAATTTTGATCAATCTAAATTCATCATTCTTTTTCAAATGCACCAACCTCTTTGTGTGATTACTGGAGATGGATAATGATGCATTATACAGTAGTAATTAAGGAAATAGCATCACCTATAATATATATTTGCAAAGTAGCTTATTTTGACTGTGATGGCGATTTGTGATGATAGCATAAGTGGTACGGAGAAAGAACCAAGAAGAATAAAACTAAAAAATGTAATTTATTACATACGAGGGCTGTTCGAAAGTGGACCGTTTGGAGGTTTGGTGTGGTTTCCTTTTCAAAACAGCGGCCTTCACACACTATACACCAGGGATGTCCAACCTTTCTGTTCTCTGGGCCACATTGAAAGAAGTCATGGAGTTCTGGGCCACAAGTTTATTGCAGCCCAATTTTTAAATATACTTGTATATTTAAGGATTTACATGTCTAGATTATACTAATAAGTATTAAAACTTTATCACGAGAAAGGATATTTTAAAAAATTACTTCTACAGACACTTTTAATTTCTACTTAGAAATAGATAAATTTATTTATTATAAAGGAGAAAAACAAAAATTTATATGAAAAACACAAATATTTGTTTTATTTGGGTCTTTAATTAATAAAAAAAAAAAAAACAACGAAACACAATTTTAAAGTGCATTTTTATTCAACAAATATTTTTATAAATAATATGTAGCCCAAAATGTAGCCAATGCACCAAATTATATTTTTTCGCCAAACTAAAAAAAGGGTAGCCAAATTTGGCGCAAAGTTGCCAAATCTTGCAATGGTGAAAGGAATATTAAATAAAGCTAGAGTTGGTATTCAAAAGATTATACACCTTAATTCGGAGAAAGGACAGAAGGGTCAAAAAATAAAGAAGTGAAAAGGTTAACTAGACCTTCTGTTATGCAAATATTAATCCTTAATTTTCCAACCTTTCTCAATTCTTTTTATTTTTTATTTTTATTTTTTCCTTTCTCTTCTTTCCATGAATTTGGGGCTATAATCCTTTGAGTCATGACTTCAGCTTTATTTAGTATTCCTTCCTCATTCACACATTTCAAGTATTTGAAAATATTTCCTTTCTATCAATATTAAAAATAAAATATGTATAAAGGTTTAGGGCTTTGTGAAACTTCTTTTTTGAGGTTTATACCGTTGAAATAAAAAAATTTGTCGGATTTGTTTACGTGTTTATTGGGCCGCATGCAGGCCGCGGGTTGGACACCCCTGCCCTGAAAATGCACTAGCTTCTCATATATGAGAAGCTAGTGCATTTTCAGCAATGCACTAGCTTCTCATATATGTGTTGCAGACCAGTATCAGAGATTTGGTGTAAGGTAATGGATGTGGCAGCTTTTAGTTCCTGGTCCATTTGTCTTTCTTAAACGCTGTCACCACTTGCATATGGTTGATCCTGTCCATTGCTTCTTCACTGTATGCTTGTTTAATCATCAAACGTTTCCTGTAAATTAATACAAAAATCAATAGCGATCCTTTGTCTAGTAATTAATGGTTTATCCTTCTCACCCACTATAGTACAACACCTTCAATTTGACTTTTATAGAGAGTAAACAAATGACAACTGCTTGTTGGCTTTACTCACATAAGCACAGTATGCCACTGGCTATCTTTACTTGTAGCAGTCACAGTATCACTTTCACAGCATTGGATCATTGTTGCCAGTCCACGAACTTTTGGAATAGCCCTCGTATATGCTACATTGAACTGTATAATGTATATACCATAGCCTTATCTATCTAACAGTGCTGTAACTTTGCACTTTACAGTGCTCTTTTCTGAATTTAAAATTTTTTCAGTTCCAGAAAATGATTTCTTTCCTGCCAATTTAGGAATTGATGTTGAAAATATATTGAATCTACTGTGACTAACGTTATATTCTTATCAAAACAACTTTTGGAGCAGCAATACAACCAAAATTGAAATATCGAATTTGTTTCTGTTTAGGTAATTGGGATCCTTGTAGAGTTCACGCCAAAATGGTAGTCAAATTGACATTAATGTTTCAAGACATGGCATTGACCGAACATGTGATACAAGTCAATGGTTTTGTTATGCTCTTGGATGCTGCAACCATATCTTGGAGGCATGTCATCCAACTTACGCCGTACACAATGCATACTATCGTTACTGTACTGCTTGTAAGTCTTTCTTAATATAAATTTGTATTTTAAAATTCTAACTCAACATAAATATATACACTTTGAATAATCATTATGATGATGATTTTAAATATTAGTTGTAAACAATGTTGAAGAAATGTCTAGATATTTGTTTGTTTTCAAAATAGTTTCAATAACCCATTATTTCATCTAATTTATTATCAGAAACTGATTTAATTTTATCTAAAACGACACAATAAAGAAATAAGTTTTGAAAAGAGTTCCACTTGTGTGAAAATATGACAGCTGTACAAGAAGAAATTTTAAAAAAATTATTTGATTATAATTTAAAAAACTATAAAAACTTTGTTTTAACATGCATATCCATATTACATTACATATTGGGCATAAAATTTTACAGTGTAAAGAAAACTACTAAATGTGTACACCATATTTAAAGAACAATGATAGTATGATATCACTGTCCTTAAACACAATTCTTTTTTACTATATAACTGGATTGCTCTTAATCTAATATAATTTCTTGCAGCACGAAACCTAGGGCTCACCTTAAAAACTAACTATCCAACATCTTTGCTGAATTGTATATTTTAATGTAAAAGAATACAATTTTATTGAATGGTGCGATACCCAATAAAATTGCAATAAAAAAACAAACACTATCAACTATTGTAGTAGTAATAAGAAAATGAAAGGAACGTCGTATTTTCAAGACGACTACTGTATCTCTGCAGTATGCTAAATCTAGCTTTTCCCTAGCTGCTAGACTAAATAATAACACGGTTCCAAAAATATCTGTTGGTAAGTGAGAAGATTTTGCAAAGTTGCCCAACCCTGGCCTACAGTATAACTTTTCATTGAGTTTAAAAGAATTATAATAAACTTTTAAATGATATGAGCAAATATTACATTGTTTATTGCATCCATTTCTTAATTTAGGGTTCTACTCCAATAAGATATAAGGAAATCCACGTAGTCAATATTGGAAAATTCGCTCACGCATTTATTGCAGCATTTCTTCCGTTCTTACCATATAAAATCAAGAAGAGAGTAAGTAACATGCAATTATCAAATTTTGTCTACTATTACTTGCTTTATTAGAGGTTTTAATGTTATTTGTTTTACTTTAATTCCCAAATACCTTCAAGAATTAAACAAGCATTCACAATATTTTTAACATTACCAATAAAGCAAGAAATAGTAGATTAAATTTTATAATACAGTATAAATAAAAGAATAAGATCTGTTAAATATGGTAAAATATTTATCTTTAAGTTATAATCTAAATTAATTTAAAGAATTGAATAAAACACTAAAAATTTATAAAGTTTTTTTTTTCATTATTTCAGATGCATTTTCACAGTTCTGGAATGGAGTCATTGCACAAGTTCATAGATCCTAAATATTTACCTGTCGAATATGGTGGTGAATTACCACCATTTGATCCTACTGAATGCAATGAAAAACTATTAGAGTACCAAGATTTCTTCGAAGAGCAAGAAAAATATTTGGCCGGATGGCCTAGCGGTTAAGGTGGCAGTCTACCTCTGGGGGACCCAGGATCGATCCGGATGGGTTGAAAAATCCCCAGGAATTTTTTGGGGTAGTCCGTCTGTATATGTCGAGCCTTGTCCTTCACCACCCATAATGGGCTTACTAATGGAAGTCCTCTTAGTGTAAATATTTTAAAATATATAAAGTAGCCTAATTAGTAATTAAATGTAATTTAAAGAGCAACAGTAATGAATTCATATTATAACGTATGTAAATGTACAGAACATTTATAATGTGTGTGTATCAGTGTAAATATGTATAATATATAAGTATAGGAATGTACTGTACGTAAATCAGCAAATAGATTTGAGAATACTTGTAGTTAAAGTGTATTAAAAGTGCATCAGCATTACAATGTACAGTACTGTACCTTAGTACTGCTGGATGGCCGAGAGAATAAGATTCATCCTACTTCTCTGGGGACTCGGGATCGGAGTCGAAAAGTCCCTGGAATTTTTCGGGGGAGTGGTCCGTCCGGATAAGACCCACAGGGCGGAAAAAGTTAAAAATAATAGATGTAGAAATGTGAGTATTGTATAAATTATTACAAGTTGATAATTAAAAAACATGTTAACGTGTACTTCAGCCAACTATTTATAAAACTGTTTGGAGGTTATGAGACGTGAAATTATTGTATCACTTCTGTTAAACTGTAACCGTCTTTTTTCTCTGTTTTACAGCACGAAGACTGAATTATCTAGCTGTGTATATATTAATACACTGTCGTGTATGTATGCCTTTTATAGGTGAGTCTGTTTGCTCATTAATCACAAAATCACTTTAATGAAATTTTATTCTCAAACTTCGTCAACAAATATATTATTTTCTTTGAGTTGTTATTAAACTATACATGCATGTTTTACTAACTTTTATTGTCGTTTCTGTTTATTTTTATATTTTTTACTTACAATATTCTTAACTTATATGGTTTATTTTTATGTTGATTTCTGCGAAATCCAATCTTTATATACATCTTCAAAAAAATTTTTTTAATTTTCTAAAAATTAATATATAGATACAAAATCAAAAGCTAAATGTAGAATTAAAATGTTATCTGTATTTTTTAAAATTCTGTGCAACTTGTAGATATCGAGAAACCTTATTTTGGATGAGATTTACAGAAAACCTCCAGGAAAATCTTTTTACATGAAAATAAATCTTGTTACTGATGAGAATTATAAATATTCTCTTGAATATTATAGAACGGGAATTCTAGGTATATAAATTTTGGCAATGCTTAAGTGACTAGATTTTCTGAAAACCTTTGAGAAATTTGATCATCATTCGGATTATCTAGATTTTCTGGCTCATTTTTTTTAACAAATTAGCAGATTTGGAGTAAAGAAAGGCGAAAGCCTCAAGCCTGAAACGATTATTACTCTCTACTCTTAACAATTACGTGGTTTCTTAAGTGTAAAGAGTGTATTTTACTTTAAATTTTGAGGCTGTCATCTTTAAAGAATAACTTTCGGAATAAAGTATCAGTTCAGAAAACTTATGTTATTGATAAGCTTATTTTTTATTATTTATTTATTTATTAATAATAATGTTTTGTGAGCGAAAACCAAAATTTGAGATATCCTTCAGCTTGAGAATCAAACAAGTGTCTCCCCAATCATATTTTCAACGTGGTCTTAAATGATTTATCAAAATATAATTTTATGTATAGTATATTTTTTGAATTTTTGTTATTTGATATAATAGATCAAGTGTTCTGACTGATCGAAATGCTATTGAATAAATATATACAGTAATAATAATGGACGAATTATGCTGGAAATCTGTCCACAAATTGAACGAGTCGAGTATAGTAATTTAGAATTATTTCTTTATTAAATTTTTTAACATTAATTCAATCAACCAATTGGCCAATTGAAATCGAGATACTGTTTATTAATCTCTTCCGGAAATTTTCCAGAAATTCTTAATGATTCAGTGATTTAAAAACTTAAAACGTTTTCATTTTTACTTTTCTGGCTCTCTTATGTATAACATGGGAAAGTATGACTCCCCCACCCCAACATTATTATATTTTTGGATTCGGAGGACTTTGAAACGTCGCGAAATGCAAAGAATTAGGGGATTTTTTCTGTGTGTATGGATATTAGTGTGTATGAGGGGAACACGATTTTGTTTATCTTCTTTGAAGCATGATAACTCCTGTGCTTTTTGTCGAAAATTTCTGAAATTTTTCAGAGAAGTTTGTGTATTAGGAGATTGATGCTATTAAATTTTGCTGGTTAAAGGTTGACGGGGTGGGGAGATAGAGGTCTGTGTCTTATTTCGAGTAGAGTAGGACTTACGATTTTATTCATTATTATTAGCGCTTACAATTTTTTTATAAAGCTTATCTCTACCCTCAAAATTAAGCTTTTTTTTTAATAATTAAAATTATAATAAATTTTAAAATAAAATATTATAATAGATGGCTCTACACACACGCAGTTTTAAATTTTGTCAGGAAAGTTAAGCAACTCTTTTCTGGATTTTTATTTACTTCAACTGACATAAAATATGATCAGATTATTTGTTTTGTTTCGTTAATTAACAATAATATAGACCAAAGAGTTTGAATGGTTCACTACGTTCTTAAGATACTTTGTTTCGTGATGTATTGTAGAATGCAACGATATTTAACACTTACAATTATGTGAATTTTTTTTTTTTTTTTTTTTTTCATAGGTATCTCCTATCCAACATAATGCTAATTACAATGCCAATTTAAAATGTATTCAATTTATACTACTGTTCTCTTTACTACTATTGTTCCAAGATTTTTCTTGTTCTTCAAAAAACTCTTGGAATTCTAGTAGTTTATCGTTGCATTCAGCAGGATCGCATGATGGCAATTCGCCGCCATATTCGACAGGTACCGTATTTTGACGAGTATAAGTCGCACTTTTTTTACTACTTTTTGGGGCTCAAAATCATGGTGCGTCTTATACTCGACAGGTAACCATTTTTACAGTTAAATTATCTACATTAGTGGACCACTCTAGGGACCAACCTGTGCAGTGGTCCGTTAAGCAGATGGTCCCTCAACTGAATGGCTGGAGTACCTAGATTATCAGAGTAGCGACACACGAGTCATCGCCACCGTGTTCTGTCGACTCTCGACTAATTCCAGGAGGGCTTACATCACAGCTGCAACCTTTAGATGTGTCAATAAATAAGTCATTCAAGCAAGCAATTCGTAATGAATGGAACAAGTGGATGATGACTGCTGCAAATAAAAGTTTAACACCAACAGGGAGAATAAAACGAGCCAGCATTGCGCAAGTGTGCGATTGGGTACTGCGTGCTTGGGAAGGTATTAAAACGGAGATCATTATTAACTCATTCAAGGACCGGAATATCTGATGCTCTGGATGGTACAGAAGATCAGGCAATCTATGAAGATTCTGATGATGATGATTCAGTCAATACTTCGGGAATTCAAGAAGAAAGGGATGATGAATCAGTCATTAATGACGTCTTACATGTTTCCTAATGGGTGTAATTTACCCGTAGATAGCAGTGATTTAGTTGAAGACTTTCTTGGCCACTATGATTAATAAAATGCATCTTTAGACAATCCCATTAAAAACGTTTTTTCTAATTTTTTTTGTCTCAAAATAAGAGTGCGTCTTATATTTGACAGCGACTTATACTCGTTAAAATGCGGTAAATATTTAGGATTTATGAATTTGTGCAATGATTCCATTCCGGAACTGTGAAAGTAGATCTGAAATTATTTGTTGAAGAATTAATTTATTTTGAAATTTCAAAAATTTCGTAATAGTTACAATTAAAAGACTATTTTACAATTCAAAAATATAATAACGATTAAAACGAATTGAGACTGATTTTTTCCTGTCGAAAGTGAGCATCGACATATTCCGAATCTATGTCTCTGTATAGAATGATTCTCTGCACGTCTGTCCAAATATTACATAGAAGAACGTGACTTTGGTAACTACAGCACACAGAGGAAATGTCTGCTGCCCGTCTACTTTCGGATGAAAATTTACAAAAGTTGCAACGTCTGACTACTGACCATCTCAATGACGTATATCTGCAATCAGTTATTACTACTGATTAAAACCTGGCTTCTTCATCACTTCTTTCCTGAGAGCAAACAGAATAGCGTAGCGTGGAAATAACCATTATTTTCCACTGAAAAGCTTCAACATATGGAGAGTAATGGTCATCGTCTTCTTTCATTGCTTATAAATAATATACCGTACATGCTGCCTCTTATACGACTAGAGATTACTATATGTTAGTTTGCACAATCTGTTAGATCATATCCATAGGATACATCTATTTCTATGCCAAAGTTTGGCGAATGTATCATGTTCGCGCGCTGCTCAAAACTGTGTTATACCGTGGAATGCCCAGATTTAGCATTCTTATTCTCAGTAATGAAAAGAACAATGTGAAGAGCCCATTACCTATCTGCAACAGCAGTGGTTAAAGATACTAGAGAACATTTCAAGTACAGATAGGCTACTTGACGTCTTCAATGACTGGCAAAAATAATGGCAGACGACCTTTAATGTCACGGTTAATCATTCAAAAAAGCCAAAGTCACTAAGACCTGGGTGAGGAAACAATCAGCCTCAGTTCTCATTTTGTTTTGACTCATCCTGATACAGCAAAATCAAAAGGCTTTGTTTACGTTAAAAATATTTACTTAAGAAAATAATTCAATTTAATTGTACTACTTACTCTTTTCTTTACTTTGTGTGGTAAAAATGGCATCAATGCTGCCGTAAATAGGTATACAAATTTTTCAACAATTATTATATGAAGTGCTTTATATCTAACTGGAATGGAACTCTGAAATATTGAAATCTGTGCTGTGTTTGAAGAATATAGATTTGTTAATTGATTTAATGCAAATTAAAATGAATTCGGTTTGATGTAATTCTCCAATAAGTGGGATCCCTCAGCAATACTTTCTACTAGAAATTGCCGTTAGAAACGTAAACATCAAGTAATATCTATCTTATGAAATCGCTCGTATTTCATAAAAATAGTCTAATTGTACATTCATGAAATATGCCTACTAACATTTTACAAAGACTTTGATATTTCTGACCAGTTTCTGAGTTTGAAAGCATTCAAATCTTACACAAATTTTTACTTTCAAACTAACCTTAATAAATAAAAATATACCTAGGTAAAGGATTATTATTTATTTAACAAAGTGAAGCTCTATAAGTCAGAAAGTGTCTGTGATCGAAGTTCAAAGCAACCGCTCGATCATTAAACACGATTTTCTGCAAATACAACTCGGTAAGGCCGATGTGACGATGCCAGAATTCTGAAATTCGATCTATGGGTTGAGATATTCGAGGTGCAGTTTCGCCATGTAAACTCTATTGGCAGGTTGCCGGGTATAAGCTGGTGTCAATGTTATATGCCAATCAAGTTTACAATTGCTCTAAATTTGTATTGCTCTCTACAGCTTTTATTTAGATCTTTACGGTGGGCATTTAACACGCACCATGTCGTGACGAAATCAACTTTACAAAAATCGCACGCGTGTACTGCCATAGAAGTATATATTTGTGAGTTTTTTGTCAAGCCGAAACGGTTTTCTTTTCCTAAAAAATGCCTAGTTTAGTGATAACTTACAAACATTATCGAAATTATGGAATGGATGAAGCTCGGTGTAACTTGAATGAAGTGTCTCTAAGTCATGCCTTCAGAATCGAAAATCACAACGTAACCATTGACTTGCATTACGTGTTCATGCAATAGTATGTCGTAAAACATTAATGTACTTTTTAATAATTGCTTCAGGTAAACTTTACAAGGATCCCAATGACCTAAATAAAGGGGGGAAAATGAAATTTTCTGTAAATAGTAATAGGAAGATGTTTAAAATCCATCGATAACTTAAGAGTTTTTCCGATTCCTATTACTCTCCCTTCCTGATCAGTTTGTCGAAGATATCCGTATATTTTCATATCTAAAGCTTCCTTTACAGCCAAAGGATTAAAATCCTTAAGGTAATCCGGATATCTTTCTCTTGCGGAGTAATAATTTTTTAATAATTTAATTAAGAGCTCTTTCTCTATCGAATTTTCTGGCTCCGAGGAAGCTCAAGAGGAATATGTCGTCCATGCGACAATTTATATTTTCTTCTGTAAAATAATGATTAATACTTCAAATTTTATAGAAATTTATTATTTAATAATGAATTATGAATGTATGTCTCTCTAATCCGACAAATTAAGTTCGGTAGACTATTAATACAGCTTTCAGGTTAGACACATCTTTTATTGTTTTCACATATGCATTTCATTCTTATATAAATGCTAAGCCCCTCTTCAGTACAATAATATGGTTCTGTCTTCTAAAACTACGGTGTATAACGTACAACATCGGGAAGAGTTTTTTTATACAGCCATTAAAAACATCTAAAATACACTTTCCAAACATTCATACGGAAAAACCTACTTTTAACATGTGCTCATAAAATCTTATATAAGTACAACTTTTAAAGAATTTATATTTTAATCTTATTGCTGCTTCGTTCTATTAGTTTCACCTATATAATTTTTTGGTTTCTGGCAATTACAATTAATTTTATATACCACTCCTGATTTTTTTTTAAATTAACCACATTCGTTTTATATTTATTATTATTATTGTAAATATTACGTGAAATTTTATTGGTCAAAGATGGGGCCAAAACAATATTTTCTTTTTTTAAAAATTGACTACAACTATTGTAAACATTATCGATATAAGGAAAACCTTTATAATTCTTATCTTTTTCATATTTGATATTAAATCTGTTTTTTATAATTACTGGTTGTGCCACATTTTTAACTTGTAACTGGATAATTATTCAAAATAAATTTATTGTCTAATTCTTTTCATTTAATTTTACGATTTATATTATTAGTAGTTCTTGTATATATATTTTTCAGACCCATTATGTAGGTGTTCTTTTTTATAGTTTCAGGAATGCAAGATTGATAATTAATGGTTTTATTGACGCTACAATGGTTTTTTAAACGTTTTAAAAGAAAATTTGTCTATTTCATTAGTTATTGTTATATCTAAAAAATTTATTTACTCTTAAATTACTCTTCAACTTTTTCCTTCTTCGTTTAAGCAATTAGTTCTTGTGTTTATGTATTTAATAATTGAGACTGTTGAGAGATCTACTGAATAAAATAAGTCGAAAATACACAATTCTCTAAGTTTACAAATTAACTTATTGCAATGAATAGAGAAACACGTTTTGAATGTCAAGAAACGTAGCATACGACTTTACGATGGTTCTTGATCACTGTGAATTATTTCAATCAAGATAAAAATATTTATAATTGATACTTCTACATCAAAATCTTCATGTCTTCGCGCAACAAAAAAGATTTTTATCAAATGAAATCTGTTCGTAATGTCACACCATAAATTATAATAGAAATATATAGATTAAACGTCTATTTACTTCTTGTAATCTCTTTGAAGCTTTGAATATCTTCATCGTTCCACGAATATTTGTTGCTTTCGTTCTTTGAGTTATCGATGAATAGTCCAAGAGTCATTCCTGCAAATTGAAATATTAAATACTGTACATTCATTAAAATTTAAGATAAATGTCTTGGAAAAATTACAAATCTATGCTCAATTATACTCAGACTTGGTCCAATATTCAGAGTCAAGTATTGTCGAACACTATCCTACAATTGGGGTGTTCGAGATACAAAGCAGCGTAAAATCTAAGACTGCGTAATTAATTTACCAGTTTTCGTATGAATAGATTAGACTATAAACTAAGATGAATATGGAATTAAAACGTACACAAAACAGTAATTAAGGTCTTTGATATACGAGGTTATCTGAATTCGTTTCTGATAATATTCAAGGGTACGAGTTTCGAATGTAGTATCAAGCAATACATTAACTATATAAGTTGGGATGTTTATTATACTTGTATATAAACGGTCGATTCCTTAATTAATTGAATATTGAATTCCAAGGAAGAAGCATACTTAAACATTAGGATTACGTGATTTGGGAGCAGTTAGCGTTGCAGAAAAATTACCTTTAGCGATTGTTTTATCATGAGTGAATAGCTCAGACGGCAGGAATTAATCGACGTTTGCCGATCAATTCCTGCTGATTCTTCTATAACATTACCACATTCTGGTTACATTTAATTACGATATTAAGGTTCTGGATTGGCCCGCATGCTTCCCAGACATCGCTGCGAAGGAAAGCATCAAGGAAACTTTTGTGAGAAAAGTATACGCAGATAATCATTCTTTTACATCTAATAAACGCTTAATAAAAACGCGATTCAGCAAACTTGGAAAGAAGTTTGGGGAAGACCTTTATGTAACTGTAAAGGATCAGTTTATGATTGAAGTAAGCAAACAGTTTGATAATTTTTATTATACATAACTTGTTTACCATTTCAATTCTGTTATTGGCAATTTATTATCAACTGTTTAATATGCCTAGTCGGCTTGTAATGAGCATTTTGCAAAGCTCTCTATATTTATATCGAGCTTGTATGGATAAAAAAAATTGTCTATTAATGTTAGTGATTATTATATTCGAATTAGGATCACTTCCTAGTTGTTTATGTTCCTGTGTTTCGTTGTGTTTAATAACTTTTTGTCCTTTTCTAGATATTTAAGACATCCTGAGACATGTGATGTTTTATATGTCTACATCTACATGTAAAATAGTTAGTTGCAAAACAGTATGAGCAATTTGTGATAAGAGTTGTAGCTATAGATAATTTGCTAACAGAAATCTTGAAATGTTAATAAACTAATCTTTAAAGTGTGAAATTTCAAAAAAAAAAAAAAAAACATTAAGATTTTTAATGAAAATTTTCATTACTGTTTTTATTTAAATACGGCTGTTCACAACAGGAGAAAAAAAACTTTGCAGCATTTTTTAATGTTTGCACTTTAGACTGACTGACACAAAGTGTTTATCTAATGATAAAAATGATAATAAATGTAGATCAAATGTCAGCATTCATCTCAGAATCGAGTAAGTAATTTATTCTCTTCTGATTCCATTTAAAATTAATTTTTTATTTAACCTATATTTTGTATCAGAAATTTTTATTTATTAATGCTATCAGTTTAAATAATTAAACGAAAAAATCTCCTGCCAACCAGCCGAAAATACGGTAGTTTTAATGGCGGTGTGTTCTGAAAATGTAAGGTATTTCCTTTACCACCTGGCCACCTTTTTTGGGCCTACGATAATACACTTTTATACGTGTTTCTGAGCTTGATTTATAAATTAATGTATTACTGATAACTTAATTATTACATATTATTGTATTTAAAAGAGTGCATATCTTAAATTCTAATAAATATACTCGATATTTCCAACTTGCAGAAATGACTCTTGGAATATTCATTGATAACTCAAAGAACGAAAGCAGCAAATATTCGTGGAACGATGAAGATGTCCAAATTTTCAAAAACATGATAAGAAGTAAAATTTTTAACATATATATTGCCTGTTATAAATATTAAACTAATGTTTATTATTTTGCAGAAGAGCAAATAAATTGTCGCATGGACGACATATTCCTCTTGGGCTTCCTCAGAGCTCGGAAATTCGATAAAGAAAGGGCTATTAAATTATTAAAATCTTACTACTCAGCAAGAGAAAGTTACAAGGATATCTTTAAGGATTTCAATCCTTTGGCTGTAAAAGAATATTTAGATACGAAAATTTTGGGATATACTCGACAGACTGATCAAAAAGGACGAGTTATAGGATTTGGAAGATGCTGTACGTATTTACATTAAATATTTCGCTCTCAACTTGAATATAAAATTAAATTTTTTAAGTATTTTTCTTTATTTAGCTATGTGGGATCCTAATAAAGTTCACATTAAATCAGTATTAAAATGCACATTGATGATTTGTGACTTGAATATAAATGAACACGTAATGCAAGTCAATGGTTTAGTTTTGATCTTTGATGCTAAAGGCTTATCCTGGAGGCACATTGTTCAACTTACCCCAAACACTGTTTATTCCATCGCTTCTTTAATGTTTGTAAGTTATTCCTGTTACATGATTTGTAGAATATAAAATTAAAATATAATTTTTTTTTTACCTTAATCCCATACTTCAGTATGGAGTTTTCACTGAGCGAGGTAAGAATTGAACAAAGTCTATTTTTATCAATAATATTTACATCATATGTTTTAAACTTTTAGGGTTCCAGTCAAATTAGTTATAAAGAAATTCACATGGTCAATGTTGGAAAATTATTATACATTTTTCTGTCAGCGTTTATGCCATTTTTACCACACAAAATCAGGAACAGAGTAAGTAAATGAAATGATTTGTTTCTTCTAAGTAAATATCAATTATATTAAAATATTCAGCAACGAGTTGCGTAACTTTCCCGGCTGTTACGAGATTTTATTTTTAATATAACGTTTATATTATTAATCATAATAAATAACATTGTGTGTTGCGCTATCTATTACAATATTTCATTATAAATTTTTTTATATATTATTAATTACTATAAAATGACAAAAAGCTTAATTTTGAGGTGGAAAATGAGTTTTATAAAAATAATTGTAAATGACAATAATGAGTAAAATGTACAGTCTGTATCTTCTCGAAATACGACCCGTGATCCCCTCTATCTCTCTATTCTTTCGACTTTTAATCACCAAAATTTAATAGTATCAATGTCCTTTATACACATGTTACCATGCCAAATTTCGTCTGTAAATTATGTCTCCATTGAGAGATATTAAATAAAATAGACGTCAATACACACAGAGGGTCAAATTTGACACTATTCCAATACTTTACATTGTTATGTATACATAACAGCCAGTAAAGCAAAATTACATTGTTGACAACTTTCTAAGATTAAATTTAATTCTCCTCCCCTTTCGTTTCAATGAATGGCCTCACTGAACGAGTGCGTCCCTTATAAAGCACTCAACACAGTCATGTTGCACTCATGTAATTTCACAGTAACACCCACTATCGATATCATTCACAATTACTTATATACAGGGACAGATTTAGGGATGTGTAGGATGAAACTGCAAACCCCTACGAGGGATTTTCCCCCAGTAAAGCTCGGTAATAGTGGCTTTTTTTCTGCACCCCAGTAAAGATCTCCGGATCCACTATTGCTCATACACGTTATACTTGTGTTGATATTGATATTGTAATATATTAATTACTGGGACATTTAATATTGATATGTACAGAAATTTTTTATAATTAAAAATCAGTTGTTTAAATTTTGTATGAAAACACAATTATTTTTCGTATAAAACCTGAGGAATTCACACTAATATTGTTTTCTTTATCGATAATAGCCGTTACTATAGTCAATCACCACCCAGTTTCCCCATTGTGAGCCTGGCCGAAACCATATTTGGCTTACTATAAAGAGAATCTCTTAGTACTTACATGGCGAAAAGAATTTTAAAAAAGTCATTACTACATTTGTGAATTTTAAATACTGTCAATATATTATTGTGTTGGAATTTCTTGATAAATTGATTCATTGAAGAATAATTTCAGATTCACCTCCACAACTCTGGAATGGAATCATTGCACAAGTTTGTTGATCCTAAGTATTTGCCTGTCGAATATGGAGGAGAATTGCCACCTTTGGATCCAACCGAATGTAATGACAGACTACTAGAGTACCAAGAATTCTTTGAAGAAAGCGAAAAATATTGGAACAAAAGTACAGTAGAAGCTCGTTAATCCGGAACCTAAGGAACCAGAATGGTGCCGGATTACCAAACATATTTGTATTTTTGCAAAATTCGCATTGCTGCTCATTTTCTATTAGTGTACGCTGCTCTGTGATTCCAATTTGTTTACGTACGCTCTTTAATTAGTCTGTAAATGATACAATGCATGACTAAACTGTATTACTAATGATCGAAAATCCTACAAGAAGGTTTATGTTGTACAGAATCAACACTCGCAATGATTATGTACAGATATTTATTTTCTAGGCATTTGCTATATACATACGATTTACAGAAGTTTCATCGGCTATTTTCACAGGGTGCCAGATTACGGAATGCTTTTGGGTCTATCGCGTGCCGGATTAACGAACGTCTACTATAAATCTGGTATTCTTATAGGACAAGCGACTTTTGAAATATAAAACCCACTTGATGATTCACAATTAATTTTTTTCATCTATTTGTATCATTGATATTTCAGCCAATCTTGGACCTATGCAAGTACCCATAGGTATTCCATCCTTCTGGGTATAGAATTTATTTTCGAACTGAAAATAGTTGTTTTTAATTATAATTAAAAACATAAAGGCATAGAATCTTACAACGTGTATGTAGATGATTGTATTATAATATATGATACAAGGAAAACGAACGAACAAATAATTAAAAATGAAGTTAATGAGATAAAAGAAAATATTAAATTTGAAATAGAAACAGAGAAACAAAATAGTATTAATTATCTAGATATAACAATAAAGAGAAAAGACGATAAATTAATTTATAAAAAATATGTGAAATCTATACAAATACCAAAAACAATTAATTATAAATCTGTTACACCCATAAGTATGAAATATAATATATTTAAAATGTATGTAAATAAAATAAGACAACGAACTAGTGAAATTAAAACTCAAGAAAAAGAAGAAGAAGAAATAATAAAAATGTTCATGTTAAATGATTATCCAAAAAGTCTACTGAATAAATAAGTGTTTTTTAACCGGGGTGTCGCAAAGTTTAGAGCCTTTAGGCATTTTCTTGGAAATTTACTTAAGTGTAGTTCAAGATAACTCATTGTCAGTTCTATTTTGCTACGAGTTATCTAGTAAGCAAAGAAACTTTCACTAATCGCATGTTAATGTAATGTTCTACGCTACGTGTACACACAACTTGTCATGAGTTTGCCCAAACCACATTGCTTGGCCTTCACGTTCCCAGTCCCAGTACAGGCCAACTACCAGAGAAAAATGATGTGGACACTTGTGTCTTGCGTATACTTTAAAAAGCGTTGCACTGTACTTTGAAAAGTGTGTGGTTTCAATCACAAAGTAGGTGCATATTACAGTATTTTCATAGTATTCAAAAACAATGATGACAAATAAACAATTTTTATCATTTTCTTAATTGAAATTTTTTAAACTGATATGAAAAGGATATGAAAAAAGTAATGAAATATTTATTTTATACAGTGGTACCTCAGGATACGAACTCCCCAGCATACGAAATTTTCAGGATACGACATGAAATTCGAACATATTTTTGCTCCATGACACGAACAAAAACTCACCATACGACGTTACATTAATTCGCAGTGCCATTTTTTATTCACTTCTGTTAGTTGATCTCAGTTGGCGCATTTGCTTTGTCGTGGAAGGATCTCGCTCGATAAAGGAAATCTTGAGGTATTAACAGAAAGTGACTGATTTTATTGAAAAGAAACATCCCAAAAAGATTCATATTGACCGTATTGCTGCTCGGAGTAATGACACTTGCCTAAGTCATTTTAGAAAAATTTTAAAAAGTAGGCAAAGCCAAACCTCTTTGATTAGATATTTTACCAAGCGACCTCTATCCAGTGAAAGTGTTGGTGGAATTAAAGGAAAGAAAGCAGAAAGCAGTGAATAAAAATTAAAAAAAAATATATATATAAAACAACACTCATTTTTAAAATCTTTTCTAAGTTATTTTTAAGTTATTGTTACATTATGTTATGTAAGTTAAGTTTTAGTATCGTTTCCCTTCTCCCTCTCCTCCGCCACCAGTTTACACCTCCACCGTCATCTATCCTCAAAGTTAAAGTTCAAATAAAACTACATTTTTTAAATCAATTATTATTCTATTATGGTTATTTATACATTTACAACTACAAAATGCATTTTTCAGTGTTTTCCTTACTATANNAATCACAAAGTAGGTGCATATTACAGTATTTTCATAGTATTCAAAAGCAATGATGACAAATAAACAATTTTTTATCATTTTTTTTAATTTAAATTTTTTAAATTGATATGAAAAAGATAAGAAAAAAATAATGAAATATTTATTCTATATATGCATCAAAATAGTATAAAAAAAACGTAACAAAAATTGTTTATCGATAAAATGTTAATATAAAATGATGATATATTTGATAATAAAACTATATTTAAAAAACAATAGCGAGACTATTATTTTACATGTAGGTATTTCGACAAAATTCAATGGACTTAAATTTTGATTTTGAACACGTAGAAACACTTTTGCGTTGCGTTTAATATTCGCAAAAAATTCATCTGGCCCATTAGTTTCCCCCCTTTATTCAGATTCTAGATCCGCCGCTGGTCAAGGGTGTCACGATTTGTTATTTTTCAATTAGGTGTGCCACTTAATGAAAAAGGTTGAAAAACACTGGAATAAATGGATAAAAAAAAATTGGGAAAAGATAAACAATCAAGATTAATAGATAAAGAGAAAAGTTTTGTTAAAATAAGGTATATCCCTAAGATATTTGAAAGAATTAAGAAAATATTAAACAGTAGAATAAATCTAATACCGGAAAAAGTAAATACAACAAAAAAACTATTTGTGTTATAGAAATGAAGGAAATTACGACATATTAGAAGAAAAAGGAGTTGTATATTCATTTAACTGTAGTTGTAAACCAGAAAAAAATATATAGGCTATAGGAGAAACGAAAAGTAAACTAAAAACAAGAATAAATGAACATATCCGAGCAATCAAGAGAAATTATGCAAATTCTGTAGTCGCGGAGCATTGTAATAATACAGGTTGTGAAATAATATTGAATTCCGTAAAAATAAAGAAAAAAGAAAAGAATATTTACAAAAGACAACTTTATGAACATATTTTTATAATCAGACAAAATAATAGAATAAATGGCAATACTGGTATAGAAATGCACCGATCATGGCTAAGATTCATAGAAAAAAAAGGTGTGTCTAAAAGATAAAAAGAACAATCGAAAGAAATAGAAACGAGGTGTGAGTCAAATGGAAGGAGAACAAATGTAAGTTGTAATAATAGTAAACAAATGTAAAAAATTGAGATAATGTTAATATAATTTGGTTTAATACAGATTTAAAATCATAGTAATTCTGTTTTTGTTGGTAAAATTTGAATATCCAGTTGAACTAAAAATAAAGGAAAACCGGAAAATTGTAAGAATTTTATTAAATAATTTGTCGGGAAATTTTAAATATTTGTTTTATTGTTTATAGAATATACAGAAATACCTGCTGAGGAGGGACAAATATGTCCGAAACGCAAAATTATGTATGTGTCCAGGTATATGGAATAAAATAAAAATTGTTTTCTGTTTTAAACTTTGTAGCATTATCTCCCTCATTTGTATTATGCTTTTCTATTGGCTAAATAAATGCGNACAAATATGTCCGAAACGCAAAATTATGTATGTGTCCAGGTATATGGAATAAAATAAAAATTGTTTTCTGTTTTAAACTTTGTAGCATTATCTCCCTCATTTGTATTATGCTTTTCTATTGGCTAAATAAATGCGGAAGTTGTTTAGCATGAAACCAGTAACTATATAGTCCCTGTCACCACGAAAATTCACATAAAAGAGTAGAGCCTCAGGCCGTTCTAGATATGTCAAATCTACCCTGCAGCTTTCGTGTAGGCTAATCGAACACACAATGGGTTTGTATGAAACATATCTGGTTACTGCTGGAGGGGAAGAATTAGAAAAAAATTATTAAAAAAAAAAAACAATCTAGCGGGAATGAAAATAATTCGGTTGCGATTAGAGTGCCAACTTCTGACGAAGAAAAAGAGAGGAGCTAAAAGAAATATACAACTATTTGTTCATTTTCAGAACATTTACGAACATATTTTACAATATACCAGTGGCGTGGCATCATTAGAAGCGGTGGAAGCGCCGCTTCCCTTATATTTTCTAAAAAATAAATACTGTACATATTAATTTTAATTATACGAAAATAATCGCACAATATTTTATTATAACCGCATTATGTATCTTATTACAAATTTCTATACTGAACGTGAAAAAAAAAAAGATAAGATTGCTATTGTATATTCGAATATTGGTGGCGGAGTGGAATCTCTATCGTCAGAATCCAAAAAACCAGATTCGCGCACGCGCTTTACAGAGCACCAACCTCACCCGGTTTAGCCGGTGGAAGCCTACGACCTCGGGTTGATGCTACACATATAACGCTTCCAATTCTATCCGGGACCGGTTCTGGGCTGTTAGCCGCCCCCCCGCTTGATATTTGGCCAATTACGTGAATGACGAGTAGATTTATAACTTAACCCGACCGATAAGAATTTACTGGTATGTTTTTACGATAATTCTGTATAGTTGACGGGAGTTTAAAAAATCCATTAAAATTTGATGTATTTATTCCGCTCTCCGATTTTATATTACTCACGGATTTCAATGTTAAACCGGTGATATTACGATTTCGTATATCCCATCCTTTAAGGGGTAAAAACGTGTACAATTCTTGTATAATGTTAAAAAACTAACTGTTACTTCGACAGCGTCATTTACAACTAAATTTAATGAATGAGAGAGATGCACCAGGTACAGAAAAAGCTCCAGAATTTCTTTTCCTTAAATTTACGATTTATGTATCCGTTGTCATAAAAATTTGACTTTCCACTTTTTTTCCCGAGACTACAAATATTCGAGTACAAAGTAACTAGTTTCGACTTATTTCTACTTAAGAAGTAGTTAAATAATTAAACGATTAGGGAATTGGGGACGTAAACAAAACCCTAACGAAAGAGCCGGAATATTACTTAAACAAAAGCTTAACCGACCCAATCTCTAGCCGAGTACAGTGGGAACTGATTTCTTCGAAATACTGTATTAGATGTAATAAAGACAGAAATTTTTCCAGTTCGACGAGAGTGACCGAAAAGTTGTAAATTTTGGAAATTTCCGTGGACAACACCTGGTCCTAAAACGAATTAGTTAAAAAACAAACGACGGACAATCTATTAACCGGTATCGGTACCCTCGAAATTTGGCACGCATGCACGCACCGCACACCTACCAAGATCGTCTCCGATACCATCCACGAGCCACTGGTAGGGAGCACTTTTAACTAAGTGGATTGTTTTAACATTTAAAAAGTAAAGAATATTTTATGCTATTTTTATGTACGTTTCTTCACAAAACTATATTCATACAATCGAATATTTTGTACCAGGTATATATAATTGTATATCCATCACACATTTAATTTTAACAGGTAAGTTTTTATAATTTTATTTTTAATTTTAGCCCTTATAGCTAGCGATTTACAATGTAATTGCGCTATTGAAAATTTATTTCAAAAAAGTTTTGGCTCGAGACCTTATAATGAAAAAGAAGACATTATTAAAAGAGAAAGACCAATGCCTAAATTAAATATAAATACGTCGACA